AGCAGCATCATCATCATCATCATCAGCATCAGCATTAGCATCATCATCATCAACATCATCATCATCATCATCGTCATCACCATCATCATCAGCATCATGTATTAGAGTCATCGTCAACATCATCATCATCATCATCATCAGCATCAGCATCAACATCAGCATCATCAGCATCAACAGCGTCATCATAATCACCATCATCAGCAGCATCATCATCAGCACCATCATCATTATCATCATCAGCAGCAGCATCATCAGCAACATCATCATCATCAGGAGCAGCATCATAATCATCATGATCATAATCATCATCATCATCATCATCATCAGCGGCAGCAGCAGCATCACCAGCAGCAGCATCATCAGCAGCATCATCATCATCCGCGCCTCCCAGGTGTGGCCCGAGCAGATGGGGGCAGAGGCGCCGCAGCGCCGATGCAGCGCCGATCCATCGCCGACGCATCGCCGATGCGTCGGCGAGGCGTCGGCGACATCGGCGATGCATCGGCGACATCGGCGTGGAGAAAACTGCGCTCCACATCGCCCTGCATCGCCGATGCACCGGCGATGCGGCGCGATCTCCTCTGACCCCCTCCACTCGGACCCCATCTGGGGAGGCCTAGAGGCCCAGAGTACCTCGGCGCGGAGTAGGGCGGGCGCACCCCGGCGGCGTGGCAGGCACGGGCCATGTGCCGGTCCTTGAGGGACAGCAGCCGGCCCCCGCCAGCGCCCGCGCCGCCCGCGCCGCGCCGCGCTGCCCCGTCGAAGAAGTCCCCCGCGCCGCGCTCCCGCCGCCGGCCGCGGGGGCTCCGCGGGGCCGCCGGCCGGGCCGCAGCCCACGACGGGCACGTCACGCCGCGGAGCTCCTGCAGGTGGCAACATCCGAACCCTACCTCCACCAACCAGCCATCGACTCTCCTGGACCGATGGGAGGCGAGGGTAAGGGGCTGATTTTGCCACGCGTTCAACGGATTCCGAACCCTGCCCCCGCCGCCGCGAAGCATGGGGGAAGCGGTTCCTGAGGAAAGGGGCCCTGGACCAGGGTGCCTTCCCCCAGGACGAGCTTGTCCTCCTGAGCCGTTTTCTGACAGGCCTGGGGCTCGCGGAGGGCCCCGAGGGCCCGAAAACGGCGAAAAGCCTCAGGACCTCTCCCCCTCAGGACCCGCTTCCCCCCTCGGCGAGCCGATCGAGTCGCTTGAAGCGTTGATCGGCGAAGGCAAAGGGGGGGGGGCTCGGACTTCGCCGCCGGCCCTGGGCGAGGCGGCCGCAGTCGGGCGAGCCGTCCGGGCGCCGCCACGCACTCCCCAGGGCCCACCATCCCCTCCACCACGCTGCGCAGAGGAGCACCGGCCGGCCCGCCGCCGCCACGCACTCCACGAAGGCGCGCTCGCCGAGCTCGGCGCCCGAGGGGCGCTCCGCCCGCGCGCGGCACATCGCGGGGGCGGGGAGATGGGCCCGCTGGCCACCCCGCCCCCTCGAGCCGAGAACGGCTCCTGCCCGCTGATGCCTGGCGCAGCCGCGGGGGCGCACAGGAAGAGCCCCGTGTTCGCCCTCCCACAAGCCGCCCCTGTCATCACCGAGCCTCCCATTCCATGGTGTGAGCGGGGAAGAAGAGAGCAAAGGAGCAGAGGGGCAGGGAAAACAAGACACCTCCCCTCTCCTCCAGATCCTCCTCCTTCCTCCTCCTCCTCCACAACCATCATCATCAGCATCCGCATCGGCATCAGCATCAGTATCATCATCAGCATCAGCATCATCATCATTATCATCATCAGCAGCATCAGCATCATCATCACAATCATCATCACACCATCACCACCATCATCAACAACAGCGACTGAATCTGTCATCAGCATCACATCCGCATCATCACCGCCATCATTAGAACCGTCCTACTCAACTTCCACGTCCAATATTCCACCAGTTCATATTCTCCCTTCTGCTTCTTATCCTTATCCTCCTCCTTCTACTACTCCTCCCCCAACGTTTTGTCATCATCAGTATCAGCATTATCATCATAACCCGGTCCTCTTTCGCAGCATGACGAGGAGCACCAACGCCACTTAGAAGCCCGTGAAAGCGAGAACGCTACAATCGCTCCGAAGTCTTGTATTTTGGATTTTGTGGCCCCACCGAAGAGTCTTTGAGCCCTCTCGAGGCGTCTTGGGCGCCTCTTGGGCCGTCTGGAAGTACTCTTAGGCTGTGTCAGCGCGCCGTTTGATTGTCCCGAGGCTCTCCTGGGCCGTCTCGGAGGCCTCCTTGGGCCCTCCTGGCCCGTCTTGGGTCTCTGTGGCCTATGGAAAAGTTATGCGGGGCGCTCGGGAGCCCACATGAGGGCCCCCTCCTCCTCCTCCTCCTCCTCCTCCTCCTCCTCCTCCTCCTCCTCCTCCTCCTCCTCCTCCTCCTCCTCCCCCTCCTCCTCCTCCTCCTCCTCCTCCTCCTCCTCCTCGGGGGCCCAGGGTGCTGGGCGGAAAAAAGGGCCACGCAGGCTTCAGAACGCCCCCAAAGACGCGATGCTTCAACGCCCGTGTGAGATTCCTAATCGTCACGCATCCTGTGACTGCGTCTGGTGAACGAGTCGGAAACTGAAACATATACATTACCAGTGGCGGGCTTCTTCTCAGTCCCAGAACTTTTTGAGGGTCGGGGACGACGTCGGAGTGGTGTGGTGTTTACAATTTTCCTCATTTCCCCGTGGAAAAAACGAAACATGCATACACCAGGACCCCGGATACACCAGGATCTGCTTTCTTGTGCGAATTTTAGTGCTGGGCCGTAGAAAACGTCGGTGTAGAGAGTCCGGTCCCTTACAAGTCGGCAAACCTGTGGCTGAATATTGTTTTGCCCTCCTTCCATGCAGGCCCGAACGTGGCGGTCCAAACCTAGGAACACATCAAGCGTCTGAGATGGCTACAGGATCACAAGGGTCTTGGGAGCACGATGCACGACGATTCAATCGTCGCACGTCAGTGGTCCATGGTCGCAAGGCGGGCAAACCCGGCACAACCAGCACACCAGGCACGGCAGGCGCAGCAGGCACGACAGGCACAGCAGGCACGACGGGCACAGCAGGCACGCCGCTGGAGGCACAGCCGGGCACTGCAGGCGGTGTTTTGATGGTGCCCCTTAGTGAGGTCGTGAGCCAATTTGAGGGTGACGATATTGACGATCTGACGGCGATGGGGCACACCCAGTGAGGACGGTGAGGATAAAGATGACGGTGATGACGGTGATGATGAGGAGGAGGAGGATGGTGATGGTATTGGTTATGTTCTTGTTGATGTTGTTGATGATGATGGTGGTGATGATGACGAAGATGGTGATGCTGATGATGATGGTGTTTGTGATGGTGATAGGGGTGATGACGGCGATAAGGAGGATCAAGATGAGGGTGGAGATGAGACGAGGAGAGGAATCAGACTTGCATGCTTGCAGGTCTGCTCCTGCGGTTTGGGAGGGTCAGGCCTGCATGCATGCAGCTCCATATTTGGACAATCTTGCGACAATTGGATCGTCATGCATCGTACGTGATATGAGGGTTGAGCGTTTCAAATGGACGGTTCCGCATGGATGGTGTCTACGGGAGGCCTTGGTGTATGGGGGAACCCGAATTGCCTGGCAACCGAACGCATCACTTACACCAAGAGGGAGAACACGTCTGTCCCTGTGGTCCCTATGCCAGCCCATGGGATTATGGTGTCTAGTCAGGCTGTGTTATTCGCATGGAGCCCCACAGCGCGGGCGAATGAGAACGTGGCGCAGGCTGCGGATCAGTCAGAAAGGCACGATAATGCCTTGAGCCGCGTTCAGAACCGCAGGATGGTGACATAGCTAGAACGACCCGCTATTTTTTCCCCCCAAGGATGGTCCGCAGAACCTTGGAGTAGATTTTCAGCACCGTCCAGACGCCCCAAGACGCGCGCGGGGACCCCGTGGGGAGACTCAAGACATCAGGGTCTTGGGCCTCGAGGCCCCGAACGGAGTTTGCCCGAAACACTGCTCTCTTACCACTGTTGCTGTGTAGTCTGGGCGTGTTCGCCGGGGGATGCTCCACGCTGGCGCCTCGCACCCGGTCGCGAGCGCCTCCTGGGCGCTCGTGGGCGCCCGGTGCCCTGGGCGGGTCCGGCGAGTCTTCGCTCGGGTGGCGCCTCGTGCCCGCCTGCGGGCGAGTCGTGGGCACCCTGGTGCCCTGGGCGGATCCACGACAAGGAGGAAAGACTGGTCTACTCTGTAGGAACGGTTTTTTGAAGGCAGATCTGCCTCCAAAAAACCGTTCTTACCGAGTAGACCAGTCTTTCCTCCGCTCAGGCCGCACAGCTTACTCCGCACAGCTTGCACGCCATGGATCAGGCCGCATCGTTTACACCTGGCAGCTTACGCAACGTAACTCACGCCACACAGCTCATAGCACAGCATGCACTGCGCAGTACTCACCGCATAGTTTCCACATAGCTAGCGCCACATACCTACGTATCTTCGTCCGCATAGCCTCCACCTCCACGGTGCAACAACTCATTGTTGGGGGCCCACGGTGGCTAAGCTTCTCTTATCCGTACCGAGGAATCGAGAGGACGTGGGGACACTCCACGTCGATCCTCGCGGCACGGCGGCAGACAAGTGCGGTCATGATCGTTGAGAAAGTTTCACGCGGGAGCCCCAGCTACATAAAAAGCCCTTCAGCTGTGTACGTGACTGTCTCGTCTGTTTACTACCCGTGCGCGCGGCACCAAGGCAAGAGCCCCATGTCGAAACCCAGTGACCCAGTCGTGCAATTGTTGGACATGTCAGGCTTCAAGGTCGTAAACGGTGAGGAGCGTCTCTGGCGAAGCGCCTTGACCACCATGACGAGACGTCTGGTGTTGCGACAGGGAGGAGTCACTCATATGGAAAGGGAATGGGGGAGGGAGGGAAGGGGAGGGACGAGCAGGAGGGAGGGAGGGAGGGAGGGACGGCGGATCAGAAGGAGCCGGTCGCGGCCGCGCCCTTGCGGCGGCCCTTGGGAGGACCCGGGCATCCTGCCGGGGATGGCCCTGCAGAAGCTGGTCCCAGGCCTTGCGGAGGAGGCACGGTCTCCCCTTGGGCGCCACCCGTTGGGGGGGCAGGAGGGGGAGGAGGGGTAGTGAGGAGGATGAATAGAACACAAGGATGGAGGAAGAGGTGAAGGGGGAGGAGGACGGGGGAGGAGTGAGGAGGGAGGAGGAGGAGGAGGAGGAGGAGGAGGAGGAGGAGCCGCTATTCGAGCCAAAAAATCGCTCCTGGGGCGGCCTCTTCGACGGGAGGAGGCTGATGAACTGTGTCCTATCGCTCGCCTCGCTCTCCAGCGATAGGCGGGCGCGATCGCGGAAAGAAGATAGCCTGCGGCGCCTCGGCTACGCGGCAGGAGGAGGAAGAGGAGGCGGAGAAGGAGGAGGATGGGACTTCGGCCGAGCACCTCCTCCGAGCCCAGCGCCTTGAGTGTGGTCTCGCCCGACGTGCTGGCAGCCCCCCCGGGCGCGTGTGTGCCCGCTATGGCCAGTGGGAGCAGCAGTAATGCCAGCCCTGAGGGCACGCTTCAGGGCGAGGGCGCCAGGCGTGCCACCGCGCTCATCGGGATCGACGCCGTGCAGGAGAGGCCAATCGGGCGGGCACACAATATCTAGGTCCACTCGCCGCAGTTGCGCCATTGCGCCCTGCCGCCGACGAACGTGGCGCGGCAACTCCCTCCTGACCCACTCCAACGTGTTCCAGGATGCTGCTGTATGCCATTGTTGTTTTTGGGGCAGAGCAACTGCTTCACCCCGCGGACGGCAGACGGCAGGAACGTGCAGCGCGCAATCTGCGATATCCACTCTCTTGCCCAGACTCTCCCCTGGGCCGGGCTGCTCTTCTCCTGCTGTCCGTGTCTACGCTGTTCTTGTATGCATGTGGTCGGCAGCTTCCCTTCGCCACGCTGTGCCATACTCTGATCTGCGCTTCTTTACCCACGACTGCGCAATGAAATCTTACCCTGCTGTGGATATGCGCGGACCTCTACCATATGCCGGACCTTCTTCCCCCAAGGCGAAAGTGAAGGCCCGTTCCGTGGCCTCACCGACGCGCGGCCTGTGGTAGTGCGCCGCGATCAGACGCTAAGCCCGGCTGCAGCGGAGATTTGTCTTCACTCGAGCCGCAGACGAATCGCGTGCGGTATACACGACCAGCAAGAAACAAGGGCAACAGAGGGCATGGTCAGGCGGAGGAGCGGGGGTAGGATATGGCGGGCAGGCAAAAAAGAAGGGGGAAGGGTAAAGTTACGATCCGAAAGAACAAAGTAAAGCACAAGGGGAGTAAACTAGAGCATGGTAGGATAGATTGCAGGAGAGCGGGAGCGTGACGAGCAGAGAGAGTAGAGTGTAGCACTTGGTGGAGTCGTTTTGGTATCGCTTTGGCCGTGGCCAGGAGTCCTCGAGGCAGTCGTGGGGCTCTGCCGGGTGTGGGTGAAAGTTGCACTGACATGTTTTCTGTCCCTTCCTCTTCAGTCAGCATCCTTCCAATCAGTCCTTATCTCGTCTCGTCCATCCGCTTTCATCCCCCTGCTGAGGCAGGGGCTCGATCAAGGGAATGGGCGACGTGCAAACGCGTGATCGGGTGAGTCGGCTATGTTTCTTACGAGATAAGCTATGGGAGCTTAGCAAATCGTCGCTGGTTGTGCGTTAATTGCCCTAGCATCTTAGCCGTAAGCCTGCGAAGTCTCGCACATGTCACTCTGCCAGTGCCTCTGGCAAGGAACCTGTATTTGCAAGGCGCATTTCGTAGCGAAGCGTGTCCAACGTAATCATTTCTGTGCCCAGTCAGCCCTCAAAACGCTTTATTTACAAGGGCCATCATTTTTGCAAGTCGGCGGGTCGGCCCTGTAGACATCAATATGGCAGGTGCAGGATGGACAACGACGGGAGCGCAGGACGGGTCAGACCCCCGGGTTCCTCATATTCATAAGCTCCCACTTTGGGCCTCCGCTGGCCGATAGCTTCGTGAAACGCAATGCAAACTCTACGAAGCTCGCTTCAACAAGGACATTACGCCGTCCATGTTGCAAAATGCGTCGCAGGAATGGGGCGGGACGCATATCCCGCGCGAAAGGCCGACACGTCGCTCTCCGCTGTGCTCCGCGCTCATTCTTCTGGAGGATTGCGCTCCCGCTGGGTCGCGGCGAACTTTGCTAGCTCGCCACTTCGTCGACGCGCGAGCTGGCGAAGAAGTAGCTCTCGCCTCGGCGCCGCGCAGAACTCGCCTGGACGTGGCGCTCGCGCCCCGACGCTGCGCAGACCTGCCACTCGGCCATTCCCGGGTGCTCGCACGAGGGGGCGAGTTCTCGCCCTCGCCCAGGCTCCGTGCGCAGTTCGCTCGGAGGGCGGCTTTCCCGCACGGGCGCGGCGCATGGCTCGTTCGCCCAATCGCACGGCAGCGGCAGCAGCATCGGGGCCGCGCGAACGCGGGCAACGATCCGACCTCTCACCCAAGGCACAACACAGCTTGTGAGTGAAAGAGGCGCCTCGTCTGCGCCGCCCCCATCTGAAGGTTTGCCGTTCTAGCCCCTGTGCGGCCCGCGTGGCTTTGGCTTCGCCAAAGTCGTCGGAAGCGGGGCCGCGCGCGATCGCCGTCCGTGTGCGAGGCAGGAACGCGTCCCAATCTCAATACCTACGTGTACCACAATGTGCTGCTATGCTGTGGGGGGGGGGCGGGAATGGGTGGAGCGTTCTGGTTCGTTCGGCCTGGCTAAATTAACGAAATAGTCTATGTATAGTATGGCCCCGATTCAAAATAAACATGGTCATTTGCTTTGTGGCAGCCGCGTCCCGAATTCACATCCAATCCGTACGCTCGCTTCCCTTCAGATTCCGTCTTGTGTCAACGACACTACCCCCTGCACCCCAGACTGTGTGACCCCATTATTAGGTTGATGCACGCTACGGCTTCTGTTCATGTTGCCATGATTACGCCATGCCTTGGCCAATTCATCAGACTCGCGTTCCTACTCCAGCTGTTGGTCACGTGTTGACTCCTGCCCCTAGTACGATGCCCCGTTGCAGAACCATACGCACGGGGCTTCACGCGCATGCAATTCCGCATGCGCGGGGTGGGTGGAAAATGATGGTGATCATCATACCACGGCAGAGGATGCAGGAGGAGGCGAAGGATGAGGGGAGGTAACGACGTGCATGTGATTTAGATGTTGCTTGCAGGCGCATAGTAATCATGTGCTAAATCGCGGGGTTGGGTGGGGCAATCATGTGCTACGTACATGCTACGTGTGCGCGCTAAGTGTATTAAGTCTGCGAATGCATTCGCAGGCCGAGCAAGTATAGAGGAACACCACTGCTAAAGTTGACTACGCCCTTGGCTTGACTTCGCGGACTTGCAATCACTTTGCAATGCATTTGTAAAATGCATGCCAGCGAGATAAGAAGCATTTGCAACATCCCATTGTTATTGATTGTTGCCGTGCTCCTAAGACCCCCCTTCTCCATATCCTATCGCCGTCCCTTTTCTCTCCCCCTGTTGAAGTCCCCCCACACCCACCCCTTCCCGCCCCAATCCCTCCCTCCCCCCATCGTTCCTCCCGTGCCTCACATGCTCAATGCCCCTCCCTCCCTCCTTGGTCTGGGGCGGGTAGGAGTGGGGGCCTCCCTTTATCACGCAGGTCGCAGTAGTCATTTCCGACGGCCTCGCGGGCGGTCACGCCCTCAGCCGGGCCATGAGTACCTGGCGGGATTCGATCGGCCGCCCAATTGCGTGGGCGTTCTTCCTCCTCCTCCTCCCCCTCTTCTTCCTCCTCCTCCTCCTCCTCCTCCTCCTCCTTCTCCTCCTCCTCTTCCTCCTCCTCCTCCTCCTCATTTTCCTCCTCCTCCCACTTCTCTCCCAACCATACGTAGGCATTGTGGCTCAAGTCACCATGTCGCCTTGCGGCCACATGGAGACCGCTGGGCCGCGGACAGTTTCCAACGTTTTGCCGTTCCTGGCGAGGGTGTGCGGCCACCCGCGCGTCCGCCCGTGGGCCTCCATATTCGTTGTGCTGCTGTCGCCTTTGGCGTTGCTGCTGGCATTCCATATCCAATTTCTTGCGGTCGAGCCCATCTTGCCCGGCGTCGTGGTGGACAGTATTTCTTCGTGGACGTTTCGTTCGTGTACGACATGCCTGCTGCCGCCGGTGCGGCACCGTTTGACGACGACATCGGAAGTGGTAGATTGCACAGAGCTGCTGTTCAGGAGCGTAGTGCATGTTGCAGCGAAAAGGACAGTTTTTCCGTCGAGCGCCTGACTACGGTCGATCCGAACATCAACGTGCCAGGTGGGAGAAGCGGGGTGATGCCCGTGCCGCACTGCCTGAACGCTTTCGGCATCGCGAACCTGATCGTGCCGCCCGGGCTCGTCGTCGTCCCGCCGCTGGCGTTCCGCAACATGTACATCCATTTGGTGGGGCATTTGATTTCCCCTATTGGCGCCATCCCTCGAAACCGCGATGGAAGGACTCGACGATGCTCCGACCTTCCCGTCACAGGAGCGAAATGATGGCCCCGCTGGTTTTGCGGCCGCAGTTCCTTGACCTGGTGTGGATCCCTTTCATGAAACATATCCTTGGTTTGAGAATCGTCACGCACTTGGTTCTGGAACCCCTACACCCGCTGCACCTTGCTTCTTCGAGTCTATCACGCAATCATTCTACGCGCAGCTCACAGTCCACGTCGACACCGCCATGGTTGGATTCCCCACATCGACAGCTCAGCCAGTCGCCACCCCAATCCATCAGTCTCACGAAACTTCTGGCCGTCGACACGCAGCCAATGAAGGAGAGTTTGCTTAACTTCGCCGATGAGTGGTCACCACCTTGCAAGAGCAGGAGCGCCGCCGTGTGGCGATCGATGACATCAACCATTCGGCGCTCGCGCTGGCAGAAGCTGCCATCCCCGTCACGGACCTCACCACCGAGGCGGAATTCGATCGGCCGCCCGACCCTGCTGTCTTCTCGATTGGATGCCCTGAGCTCGCATGTCAACATTCACGCGCAGGTCATCAGCAATGGTTCCAGGGCTCGGGGGTCGACACTGCACGCGCCGCCCTTGTCTGAGATGACCACGCCAGATTCTTTAAATTCAGGCTGCCCGTCGATCGGCAAGTCTTTCTCCTTCGCGCCATAGCTCTCGCTCGAGGGCTCAAGCTTGCTGGAGGCGCGTGTCGCACGTTTTCCAGCACCGCCGCCATCAGTGGCCAGCAGGATCCGTTTTTCCGCAAGCACGGACCGCAGCGCCTCCTCAAGCCTTCGAACCCGTCGCGAATTTCAAACAAGGCCACGGCACCGACGTCTCGCAGCGAGTAGCAACAGCACAGCTTTCGCCCATACGAGCAGAAACGTTGCGTCACCGTCGATGGAGATCTCGTCGCCAGGCTGGTGATAGGCACAACCGCAGACGCCGCCTCCAAGGACGAGTGGAACCGCCCCCTCGCCCTTTCCAAAGGCATCGACTGCGATACCGTCGACAGACGCTTGCATGACTTCTTCACCGAGGAAGGCGGCATCGCGCGGGGTCGCACCCAACGGCCTGGGCACTCGGAGAAGGTCCTCGAGCTCATCTCCCGCGGCGCGCGGAGCCCCCCCCGCCCGCCTCGGGTCGCCGCCGCCGCCGGTCCAAGCTGGCGCAGCTCGCCCCGTTCCCGCGCCAGAACTACCAGATCGCCATCCAGTCGGTCCACGGCGCGCAGCTCAGTCGGCGCCACTGCAGCGGCAACTCGAGAGCTGGCGGAGTTTCGTTTCTCTCCCCATCGCGCGATCATGCCGACGCATTCGACCAGCTGCTCGGCGCCCCGCTGGCCCCCGGCACGCCTGCGAAGGGCTTCGCCGAGATCCGCGCAGGCACCGGCGGCGCCCAGCTCTGCTTTGGGTTCGCCCAGTTCGGAATCTTGGAATCTCCCCTCCCCGATCCTCTACAAGCCTATCGACCCCCAGCTGGTCATGGCTAGCTGAACTAGGTGGCAGCATTGTGTTGTGTGTGTGTGTTGTGTGTTGTGTGTTGTGTGTGGTGTATGTTGTGTGTTGTGTGTGTTGTGTGTTGTGTGTTGTGTGTGTTGTGTGTGTTGTGTTTGGTGTGTGTTGTGTGTTTTGTGTGTTGTTTGTTGTGTGTGTTGTGTGTTGTGTGTTTATTGTGTGTGTGTTGTGTTTGGTGTGTGGTGTGTGTTGTGTGTTGTGTGTGTTGTGTGTGTTGTGTGTGTTGTGTGTTTGTGTGTGTTGTGTGTGTTGTGTGTTGTGTGTTGTGTGTGTTGTGTGTTGCGTGTGTTGCGTGTGTGTGTTGTATGTTGTGTGTGTTGTGTGTGTTGCGTGTGTTGTGTGTGTTGTGTGTGTTGTGTGTTGTGTGTTGTGTGTGCTGTGTGTGTGCGTGTGTGTGTGTATGCGTGCGTGCGTGCGTGCGTGCGTGCGTGCGTGCGTGCGTGTGTGTGTGTGTGTATGTGTGTCTGTGTGTGTCTGTGTGTGTGTGCCTCTGTGTGTGTGTCTGTGTGTGTCTGTGTGTGTGTTTGTTTGATTTTATGTGTGTGTTTTGTGTGATTGTGTGTGTGCCTGTGTGCGTCTGCGTATGTAATTATTTGCGAGTGTCTCTGTGTGTGTCTTTGTGTGCGTTTCTATGTGTTTCTCTGAGTGTGTCTCTGTGCGTCTCTGTGTGTCTCTGTGTGCGTCTCTGTGTGTGTCTCTGCGAGTGTCCCTGTGTGTGTGTCTCTGTATGCGTCTGTGTGAGTATGTGTGTGTGTCTTTGTGTGTGTGTTTCTGTGTGTCTCTGTGTGTCTGTGTGTGTGTCTCCGTGTGTATCTTTGTGTGTGTGTGCCTGTGTGTGTCTGTGTGCGTGTCTGCGTGTGTGTGTGTGTGTGTCAGTGTACGTGTGTGTGTGTGTCTGTGTGCGGGTGTGTCTGTGTGTGTGTGTCTGCGTGTTGCGTGTGGGCGTTCGTGTGTGTGTATGTGCGTCTGCGTGCGCGTGTGTGTGTGTGTGTGTATGTGTGTGTGTGTGAGTGTGTGTGTGTGTGTGCGGTTGTGCGCGGCCGCCTCCTCACCCCTTCTTCTCTGCTTCCTCAATCGGCCTTCCCCGTTGCTCATCGAACGAGGAGCCGGAGATCGCACATATGTGCTCACTCCCTCGAGACCCTCCCCCGGGAGGTCCCGGAAGGTCTCCCGAGGCCTCGAGCGGCCCGAGGGGGGGGCGCGCGCGCCCCCAAAAAACAGCGACCTGCGCTCCTCGGCCCCCTCGGAGTCTCCTCGCCCCGACCGCACACGCCCCGGGCAGGATCCGGGCCCTGCACCGGCGACGAGGCACGGCGCGCGATATGCCGCTCTTCGCACGGGCGCGCCGCTTCCGAGCCGGTATCGGGGCCCGCACGCCCGACGAGGCATCATTCTCGCGCTCCCCGTCCTCCGCGAGGGGAGGGTGGAGAGCGGCACAGCTGACGACGAGCGGTCCCGGTGTGGGCGCACTCGCCTCCGCCCCAGCACCAGTAGAGACCACGACGACACCCTCCGCCCCCGTGCGGCAGCCTTCGCTTCGCCGCTCCGGGCCCGCCACTCGTGCCGCTCCGCTGTGCTGATGGGGGCTGGGGCCCACGCTCGGCCCCCTCGGTCCTCGGTCCCCTGGCCCATCGATGGGCAAGGCTCAGGGCTGCGCGCAGACAGCCCCCCGCCCCCAGGCAGTCCCGGCTGGCATCAACAGGCCCCCCGCGTAGCCTCAAGTCGGGCCTGTCCCTCTACAGGAGGGATATTCAAAATAGGCACAAAATAGTCTGGGGACTATTTTTGGAGTATTTTTGGGACCATCTTTGGGTATTTGTGGAGCATTCTTTAGCTGTCGTCCAGCATCCCGCTGTAGGGGGACAGGCGGCCCGACCTAAGAGTAGCCTGGGGCCGTCTCAACGCCTCACCCCCCGGGGGCGCGGAGCGCCCCCCGGGAGCGCAGCCATCCGCACCGCGGGGGCGTCGAGACCGCTCATGGGACTGCTCGGGGGGGCGCGGTTGAGGCCCACCCGGACTGCCCGGAGGGGCCATCCTCGTGCGCGGCCCGTCGTCTCCGCCCGCCTCGGCCCACGAGGCGGCGGGGGAGAGATCCCCTCGGTCCCCGCCGCCCCGCGGCCCCCTCGACGCTCGACTCGTGGCGCACGAGGGCTCCTCCTGCAGCCACCCCTCTGGCCCCGAGGCCCCCTCCAGGGGCCCCCGGGGGGGGACGAAGAGAGCGGGCCGTCCTCCCTGGACCATTCCCGAATCTCTCACCCAACGTCCTCCTTAAACTCAGGAGGGAAAAACACACACAGAGACACAATGAATCGTCGATCCCCAGAAGAGATGGGAAAATAGGAGCAGCGAAAGAAGACAGAAACCCAGAAGATACAGGAAAATATATGGGAAATCCCTCTATCTGTGTGTCTTCATGTGTGTATGTGTGTGCCCCAGGGCCCCTTCATCAGCGCCCCGAGCCGAGCCCTGCCCCTCTTCGGCCCCCCCGCCCCATCGACCCAGGCGACGTGCCCCCGCTCCTGGACCGCGCGGTGCAGGCGCGGCCGCCCCCCGCCGCGGGGGCCCCGCCCGCCCGCCAGCGGCCCGCGCCGCGCCGCCGCGGGCCGCCGCGCGCCAGAGCTCCAGCGCTGCAGCCTGCCCGCCTGAGAAGGGCGGGCAACCTGCCCCCTTGGCATCGCTCGGACGTGTGCATTTTTTCTTCGGCGAAGACCATCGAGGAGCATCCTTGATCATTTGGCGAAAAAGCCACGCACGAAACCGAGCAAAAAACACAGGGAATGGACGTCCGAGCGATGGCCAGTCCCCAGGGTACCCACTGCTCAAAGTTCTCATTCCTCGGAAGGTCTCGGATTTTTGTTCGGGGGGGGCCGAGATCCTCTCGTTTCTGAGCGTTTTGTCCCGGGCCTCTTCCTGGGGCCAGGAGCCATTCTAGAGACGGGCACAATTAGAAATGAGCACGACTAGGAATGAACGAAGTGTACCCTCGCATCCTTGCCTCCTCGGTCCATCCTTGGCCACTTTCGTTGGCCGCACCCCGCTCGCAGAGTGCCGACCTGGGCGTCCAAAGGCCCACATGCATCCTCATCGCGCATCTCCTTATATGTAATACGGGCCGACTGTATACTATGGCTGTTCCAGTGCGGGCTTGTGTGTCCGTGGCTGTTTTCGCACCGGCGCGCTCCTCCTGAAGCTCTTCCCGTGGTGAGTGCTCGTCTCCCCCCCGCCTGTTTTCCGCGGCCGCCCCTCCCCGCCTCTTCCTCTCCTGCCGCCGGTCCAGCAGCGCGCCGCGCGCCCCCGGCTACGATGTAGAGCGCGCGTGCAGACCGCCTCCTGCCGCGCTGCGACGGAAGAGGCGTTGCGTTGGCTTCGGTCACCGGGGCCCGCTGCCGGGCCTTCCCTTGGAGACGTCCACTGCGCAGGTGCCGAGTGCTTCTCCGCAGAGTTCTGCCGTTGAGACTCTGCGGGCGCGCTCGCCTCTCCCAAGTGGGACCAGGAGCGATCGATGACCTGCGTCCATGCATGGAGATCGCGCCCCGGGCGGAAAATCGGGCCGAGCGAAAGGGGGGGACAGGGAAAGGGGGGGGTACGAAATCTGCTGCATGCAGCTGGTTTCGGCCCCGCCGCCGGGCCCATTCCTCGATACATGGGCGCCTCTGGGCGCTGGGAGGCGCTGGGAAAATCAGCTACGTGAGCTGCCGCGCTTCAGGGAGGAAAAACAACATTTACCGCGTACGTTGGAGGTGCTCATTCTATAGTCGTACCCTATCTTCCGAACCCCTTCCTCCCAACACGATTTCTGGCTTCCTCAATGGAGGAATGCACGGGAGGCTCGAAGGCCCAAGCGGGCTTGCGTCAACACAGCCGGGAGGGAGGGGCACGGGAAGGGAGAGGAGATAAGCACAGCAGTCGAGAAGCAGAAGGGCTTGAGGCTGCACACAGGGTGTCAGGCTGCCTGCAGCAGTGCTGCCCCTGCACAGCGGCAGCTGTTCGAACCAAAGTTCGCGATGCATTGACGGACCGTCAACACTAGACCACTCGTAGTGGCCGCCGCGTGCACCAGAGAGGGGCACCGACGAAGCAAACACGGGCTGTGAGCAGGTAGCAGCAGCGAAGGTCACAAGCATGCGCGATGGCCGAGGGGCCAGCGGGGGAGGCCCAGAAGGGGGAGCAGGCGGGCAGGCGCCCCCTGGCCGAAAGGCAGGTCTTGCCGAGCAGTGGTGGAAGAGGCGCCGCGCGCAGCGGCACAAGCCGGAAAGGAGAGCAGCGAGGGAGAGGCGAGCGCGCTGGCGAATACTCACGATCGGCACAGCCTGATCGGCTGCAAGGCTCTGACCGCGAATGCAGATGCAAGCCCGAGCATCGCAGACAGCGGCAGGGGCAGAGCGCATGCGGATGATGTGTGTGTGTGTGAGGTCCGCTCCTATCACCATTCTATCCTTATCTACCGCTGACGTATCAGCTCAGGTATTGGTACAGGTACAACATACCGCGCTGCCTCCATCGCAGCGCCCTGGAAAAGGACTCGCGACCCTCTTCCTTTCCTACTTTTACGTGCGGGATATTATGTAGGTTCGACTCTTTGGCCGTTAACCTACATACGCAGATGAAGGCGAGACCGGGGCCGCCCTGCAAGCAGAGAGCCCGGACAGACCCACAGCACAGCAGATCCAATCTGCCACAGAGAGCGTCACGAAGAAGAGGCTAGAACTCATGTGCAGGCATCGCACGTAGCAACAGAGGAGTCAGCTGGCTCTGCTGTCAGGCGCTGGACACATGTCGGGAAGCCCTTGAGATTTGCGATCGAATCAGGCAAGCAGAGCATGCTTCTCTTGTGGAGGAGGGTCCTCAATACAGCAAGTTCGGCAGAGGACACCCTTTCGTAGTTTGCACATCTTAGCATTGCACCAATGTCCATCGTGAGTGATGTGCCCACAGAATTTGCACGCTGCACACAGAAGTTGCACGCTGGTGGCCGAACGGGGGCGGACCTGAGTAAATCGAACCAGCCACGCTTCGCCCGCGAGACCGGCCCGGACCTTTTCTTGCACGTTTTGCAAGTGGGAGGCTGCACTGTGCTAGAACTCTCGCTCGCATACGGCCGAGGTTGCAGAGCAGGGGCCTGAGAAACATCACGCGCGGGAAATGGAGACCTCTCGTGCTCTGGCAGCGCACCGGATTACAGCGTTCTCGTAGGAAATACCAGCACGCCTTGGCTGGAGATGCGGGCTGATGTCTCCCACGAGCAGTTCCTGGTGAGCCTTCAAACAGGCATCACGATTCTGAGGTAGCCAATGCTGTTCTGGCGCGGGAGCAGCCCACTCCTGAACAGAGCGGTCGGGCTGCGCATCAGAATAGCTGCTAGACAACACTGCTTGCATGCCTAGCGGGAATTCCTCTGCCTTATCCAAACCAGCCTGAAGGCGCGAGTGTCGGCTCTAACCTGGGACCGAGGGGATCCAGAGCGCGAGCGGGAACGGCCCAATGAGACAGGCATTGGGGTGGGCTGGGACCGAAAGTACTGTCGAAGTCTATCGTCAAAACTCGTTTGCCTGCTGTCTGCACTGCCAACAGTGAGAGCATTCAAATCACGGCGCCTGGCATCGACCTCTCTGGGAGAGCGGGGGTTGGCCTGTGGAGGCGCCAGGGGGCGTCCCAGTGAGACAGGCACGGGAACGTCACCTTCCACAATACATTGGCGATCACATGCGCCACCACTATCACGGCCATCACCCGTCCTGTCCGAGGTCGAGCGATGCCATCGATTCAGGCGGTGCACAACAGGACGTCCTCCCCCACGGGTGGCCTTGGCCGCGCAACCCTCGGAGTCGAAGTTACCCGGTGGCGGCGGAGGTTAGCGAAATAGCAGGACCAGCCCCAGAAATTTGCAAGCGCTCATCGAGCGGAAGCGGTGGCAGAACGAGGGCGCCCGATCTTTGAGATCCCGTGGCACATCCTTCGGCAGGAAGACCAGCAGCATGTGGTGCGGGCGGCGGCGGTTGGCGCGGTGGAGGCACAGGCGGCGCAGCAGCACCGTGCCACACTGGGGGAGGCGGCGTGCATGAGGCGGCCTTGCAGGCGCCCTGCCACGCTGGGGGAGGCGCCGGCGCGACACCCGCCCCGCAGGCAGCCAAGGCGGAGGAGGCAAGGGGTAGCCTCCGCCTCGCGCCTCGTTCATGTCGACGCGGTCGCCACGGCTGCGGTTGCGGCAAGAGCCTCGAAGAGGAAGAGGAGGAGGAGGAGGAAGACCAGACAGAGCAGCAAACGCAGGCGGAGAATGCGGACGATAGTGATCAGCAGCAGCGGGACGAAAAGGTGGAGGAGGCGCGGCGTGGGCACAGGAAAGGGGAAACGGGACGGGGAGGCGGGAAAGAGGCTGGAAGAGGAGGGGGAGTAGTGTGCACGAGGAGGAAGGGGACGAGAGGGAGGAGGTGGAGGCAAGCGAGGACGACGACGACGACGACGAGAAACCCTACCGAAGGGCCCTGGCGGCTCGTTGGAGCTGACGCCCGATCAGCAGGCCAGGGGCTACCGGTGGTGCGAGACGTGCAAGGCGCCCACGCGCTGGGCCCCCCCCGGCCTTGCCGCGCCCCTCCCCTCCTCCTCCTCCTCCTCCTCCTCCTCCTCCTCCTCCTCCTCTCCTCTCCTCCTCCTCCCTCCTCCTCCTCCTCCTCCTCCTCCTCCTCCTCCTCCTCCTCCTCCTCCTCCTCCTCCTCCTCCTCCTCCTCCTCCTCCTCCTCCTCCTCCAACCTCCCCTCCCTCCTGCTCCTCCTCCGTCTCCTCCTCCTCCTTCTCCTCCTCTTCCTCCCCCTCCTCCTCCTCCTCTTCTCCTCCTTTCCTCTTCCTGCTCCTCCGTCTCCTGCTCCTCCTCCTCCTCCTCCTTCTCTTCCTGCTCCTCCTGCTTCTCCTCCTTCTCCTCCTCCTCCTCCTCCTCCTCCTCATCCTGCTCCTCCTCCTCCGTTTTTGATTCAGGGCGTCTTCGAGCCCTGATTTGGAGCGGACGATCGGCCAGGACGGCAGACTTCGTCTCTTGCGCTCCGCCTCCCCCGCCACCCCTCCTCCAGCCCCTGCTGGCCATGGTCCTGGCGAGGCCTTCGGCGCCCACGTTCGCGACTTTGCCCGTTCCTCCGCCTCCTCCTTCTTCTTCTCCTCCTCCTCCTCCTCCATCGTTTCTCCTTTGACATAATTTCTCCTTGTCGCGCCCCCAGACGTTTCGGTAGGGCGGGCCAGGCATTTCGTCCGACACTTCCTCACCACTCGTGTCCCTGAAACTTGAAATTGGCAACAGTTGCACGGATGGAGGGCAGGCCTTACTTTATTGTTGTTATTGCTTGAGCGCCGCGCACATTTGTCGTATCAAGTTGCAGTAGTTTCAAGGATGGAGGGCGGTTCCTTTTGAACACGTGGCTCTCGCTCTTGCGCCGCGTGGATTCGTTCTTGACAGTTTTAACGTTCGCAGCAGATTCGAGGACTCCTTTGGCTGAAGTTCCAGGAATTGCGTTTTGGTACGGTCTTGAATTTGTCACGACGCAGCAGTAACGTTCAGTTGTGGTGCGAGAGTCCCCGGAATAGTGTGCGGGCACGTTTCGGGAGAACCGAGACCAAACAGTCACGTTGATTCGCGGCGTTGAAATACCAGAATTGTATGTTGCCGCGATTGATGCTTCTCCATATGCTTGTCTTTCAATGATGCACTCCACACTGTGAGAAAAAATCTTGCTCGGGGCTTGTAAAAAGGGAACTTGGAGGGAGGGCTTATTGCAATATCGTCGGTGCTTCTAGGTATTGCACCTGTCCTCCTCCTCCTTCTCCACGCTGCCGTCCCCCATTAGTCTCGCCATTCAACCACCCCTTACTGGAACCTGAGAGCCTCTTCTGTCCCATGTCCGAGCTGACTGGTGTCTCTCTCTTTGGTGGTCATAGTGCGGAGTACTGCTTTGGTTATCCGCAACCATTTGATAACAGAGATGGGCCCTATACACATCTCGGAGTTCACACTCCCAGAATTCGCTGACCTTTCTTGGTGACGACGTACCGTCTGGGCGAAGAGCAGCACGCTGCCTCGGGGAGTCACGCTCGCAACGAGGATGCTCGCGCATGGGCCGATCTGGCTCGGCAGCCGCTTCCCGCCAGCGTGGAAAAGAACGGAGCAGCATCACGCGGCAGCCAGCAACCAAAGATGGAGTTGGACGAGCCCCACAGGATCCTAGCGAACGCGTTGGAGAAGCTCCCAGCCATGCGCCCGCAGGTCGTCGCGCAGCAGATGCGTGTGCTGATGGGGGCCGTGCCGGATAACTCGCTCCAGCTGCGAATGTTTTGGCGGTGGAGTTCGTGAAGATCACGATAGAGAAAGCAGCCCTCCAAGCGGGCATGGCCTACGCGACGGAGGCGGCCAGGCTTCGAGAGGCACATCATGCAGACCCGCCTAAGCGGGTGGCAGAGGTGGTGGTGGGACCAGCCTGTGTGCAGATCTTTCTGGCGGTGGCAAAGAAGGCGAGCGACGAGGGAGATGCTGCAGTCGCGCGCAACGCGAAGGACTGGCAGGAGCAGTGGCAGAGGTTGGACTGCCTCCAGTCTGTCAAGGACCTGGCGCCACATATCAAATGGTTTCGGGTGTCGGGCACGCGCAGAGAGGGGCTAACCAAGATGGCGTTCGCCATCGCCGACGTGCAGATGACACAGGTGCTCCAATCGCGCGCGGTTCAGCTCGCAGGCGAGTTGCGTCCAAGGATGGCCACGTGGAGCGGGTTTTGCAGCTGGCGGTCGACGAGCTCGAAATGTGATATCGTCCGGCTTGAGAGCAAATCTGAGGGATGGTTTTCTAAGCTGGCCGCCGCTGCTGGATGGAGGCGGATCGCAAAACCCCAGACTGGACCGAAGTTTTGGGGGCGACCTCCCAGGTTCAACGTCGCAGTTTTGCGGGTTCGACTCCTCCATCTCTCAGCGTGGTTGGCAGCAGGATGGAGTGGGCATCGCGCGGGAGACTATTTTCTCGCGCGCGACATGGGAGCAGCGGCCCCAGGGCTTGACCGTAATTCCGTCTCCTCCTCTTTCTCGCAATTCTTAAGACAGATTCGACCAAGGCTCCAGTAAACACGGATTCGTTCCGCATTGTTTGCATCGCGTGTGTTACTCACCGTGATCGCAGATGCCAGGTTCACGTCTCTTCATGTTTTGCTTTTCAATGTCCTCCCCAATCGTTCCCCTTTCCTCCTCCCCGCCCCTCCCTGGGCAAGGTTATTCGTCCGCCGCGGTCGTCGCATTGCCAGTACTGCAACAACTGCGTGATGATGTTCGACCACCACTGCCCGTTTGTGGGGAACTGCGTTGGGAAGAGGACGCGCCTCGTCCTTTCTGCCAGGAGCAGCTGGAGGAGGATGCAGCATGTCGGCGGGCATCCTTGGCAATGTGTGCATCTGCCACTGGTGCGTGCGCCGTGCGGATCTCATGGAGACGCGTCTGCAGGACTCGCCCTCCTGGTGTTTCGTTGTTTTTCCTGCCGGGTCCTTCGCCAGGGATGTCCAGTTTCGGGGAAGCGTAAGACTCGAGTGAGCCGGAACTCGGGTTTGCCGACATTTTTTGACGAGCGCGTCCTGGATTTTGACGGTCCAGTTTTCGTGGGATGTCTGCAGCGGGAGCTCGCGTCAAATTTCAGATTGGGTCTCGTCATCTTTATGGTGGCCCCGTCAGGCCAACCCGAGTCCCCCGTACCCGAGTCTTACGTCTCCCCGACAGTCGTCTGCAGCAAGTCCCGCCACCGTGCCAGCCTGGCACTCTGGGTGGCAGCTATTCGCGGCGGCACGGCAGGCCGTCTTGGGTGAGACAGCAGGGCCTCTGAAAAGACTTTGGGGGGGCTGTTGGGTGCCGCCGGGGGGCCGTTGGGGGGCATGTTGGGGATCTCCTGGTGCTTCTTGGCAGCGTCTTGGGGGCGCCTCGGAGGCTCTTTGGGGGCCCTTGGGCTGTCTGACTGCGCTCCTGGGCCGTCCTGGGCGATCTCGGAGCTCAGTACCCTCTTTGGGGGCCTCGGGCCGTCTCATGGGCCCCCACTGGGGCCGACCTGGGGGCCACCTGCACCGCTCCTGGGCCATCTTGGGACCCTCTCGGGTCGCCGCGGGGCCCTCTTGAGGGGCCCCGGCCGACCTTGGGCCCTCCTGGACCGCTCCTGTGCCATCTTCGAGCCCTCTTGGGTCGCCGCGGGGCCCTCTCAAGGCCGTCCGGGGGCCACCCGTCCCGGGTACGAGCCCTGGAGGCTGCACAAGAAACAAAACACCTGCCCGCCCTTCTTGCTGGCCGGAACCGGTGCTGGGCCGCCTCAGAACCCCAGGCGGCTCTACTCTATAAGAACGGTTTTTTGAAGGCAGATCTGCCTTCAAAAAATGGTTTTTTGAAGGCAGATCTGCCTTCAAAAAGAACTGTTTTTTGAAGGCAGATCTGCCTTCAAAAAGCCGTTCTTGCAGAGCAGAGCCCGTCCCGGGGGCCTCTTCGGGGCCCTCTCGGCGGCCCCGCGGGCCTGCCGGGCCTGCGCCGCGGAGGCCGTTGCGGGGCCATGCCTCGGGCGCCTCGGGCGAGCGCCAGGGAGGCGTGGGGGCCGCCCAGGACGCCTCGAGAGGGGGGGGCTCCTCCTCCTCCTCCTCCTCCTCCTCCTCCTCCTCCTCCTCCTCCTCCTCCTCCTCCTCCTCCTCCTCCTCCTCCTCTCCTCCTCCTCCTCCTCCTCCTCCTCCTCCTCCTCCTCCGCCTAGCTGTTCCCTCTTGGCCTCGAGAGGGGGGAGGCCATGCGCGCGGCGAGGCATGACCGGGAGTGGCGGGGGGGGTCCATTAGACTTGGCATCGCTCGGACGTGTGCAGTTTGCCCGGCGAGGCCAGCTCCAGAGCATCTGGACCATCTTGGAGCATCTTGCACCCGCCTCGGGAACAGCACGCACGACGCGAAGCAGTGCGCGGGGCATGGACCTCCGAGCGATGGCAGGCTGAAGATCACAGAAGCCCTGCCAACTGGCACTGGGCATCCTTCCACGCGGCAGGCATCCTTGCACGCCTCAACGTTCGAGGGGCGACGTCGGCACAGAAACGGCCACCGCTCCTGGACTGGGGGGCTCGTGGTCCGAGGGTGCGGTGGAGGAGGAGGAGGAGGAGGAGGAGGAGGAGGCAGAGGAGCAAGAAGAAGAAGAAGAAGAAGAAGAGGAGCAAGAGGAGGAGGAGATGTAAATATGCGCGCGGGCGGAAGCCCCGGTCGATTCCCACCATATTGGGGATAGTGTCGACTTCGAAGAGCACGACGATTTCGGCCAGATTTGGGGGCCGGGAGGAGCCCCAAGTCCTTGAGTTCCCCGCTTTCGCCTCTCCAGAACGCTTCCGAGAGCCCCACGACCCAGCCGATCGGGGGAGATGCAGCAGCGTCGACTCAGTGGATGTCGCATTGCAGGCCTCGCAGAATCCTGCCATGGGGTCAACAGTGAAAATTTAGAGGAAGTGGCGAACAGGCCGCCGTGAAACAAGGACTCGGGGGCAAGCATCCAACGACAAGTAAGAACCTGCTGCTTTAGGTAATGTGCACCCCCTCTCCCCCTCTTCTCCTCCTCCCTCTCCTCCTCTGAGCTCCTCCCCCCTTCCCCCTTGTCCTCATCCTCCACTCCCCCCCCGCAAGACCTCGACCCCTGGGAGCCTGGAGTCCTTCTCCACGGATCGTTCGTTCTTCAATCCCGGGTCGTTTCTTGACGGCTCTTTTTGGCTTGGCAAGGGCAACCCAGAGGCCGACCGCGACCACATTTGCACGCCGTGGTTCTGTCACGATGGGAGGGGGTGGCCCCCCTTGGTGAGGAACTACTCGATATTCTCGTCCCTCCCCTCGTCTTCCTCCACGTCCTGTACCTCATCTCTGTTCCTCTCCCCACCCATCCCGCCGTCCTATTCCCCCCCCTCCCTTCTTCCTCCCCCCACCCCCGCGGCGAGGAACTAACCCTCCTATTCGTTCGCCTCGCCCGCCTTCTCCCCTATCCTCCCCCCTGTCCGTTCGTCCCCCTCCCTCCCCCTCTCCTGTCCCACCCCTTCGTCGAGGAGCCCTTCTTTTCCTTCTCCTCGTCCGCATCCTCCCCAATCCCCCCCCCCTCTTCGTTCGCCCCCCTCCGCGTCCCGTCCATCTCTCCCCCCTTTCGTCGAGGAGATAACCACTCTGCTTCTTTTTCCTCGTCGGGCCTCCCCGATCCCACCACTCTCCCCCCCCGCTCCCCCTCCCCTCTCCCGCCCCGCGTCGGCTCCTTTTTCGGTTCCTCGCGGAACCAAGCCTTTCGACTCCTCCTTGCTCGCCTCCTCCCCCATCCTCCCCCCCCCTTCGCCCAGCCTCCCCGTCCCTCCCCTCCTCGGCAGGTTCCTAGCCCAGGAGGACCTACTTCGCGCGGTCTGGACCCCACAGCCCGAGGCCGTCCGTGCCGTCGCGCCCCCGCGTGCCCTCCAGGGCGGCGGCTCCAGGAAACTGGGCCCACGAACCGGGCTCAGGCGCCCCAGAGCCAGAATACCTCAAGGCTCCCCTCCGCCTCCTCCTCCTCCTCCTCCTCCTCCTCCTCCTCCTCCGCCTCCTCCTCCTCCTCCTCCTCCTCCTCCTCTACCGCCCGCCTCCTCCTCCTCCTCCTCCTCCTCCTCCTCCTCCTCCTCCTCCTCCCCTCCTCCTCCCTTCGTCGAGGAACTACCCGTTCTTCTCTGGCTTCCTGGTCTCCACGAGCTGCCTCGGCTTCGCCGTCGTCTCGGGACGCGGGGCCCCGCGCGCGCGCCCTCCTGCAGAGACGTTCGGCCGTCCTACGGCGTCGGCGTCCGACGCAACATGGTTTGGCAGTGGAAGGGACTTCCGTTGCAGCGCTGGTCGGATGCACTGGCGACTGGGGTGTCCGTTGCGCGTCTTCAGCGCTGATGGGGTGTGCAAGAGCGCCAACTTGCGTGCGGCCCAGGGGAACAGTTCACCCCATGAGTTCTCCGCTGGGGCTTTGTCCCGCCCTCTCCACTTGAATGTCGCAGACGGGGTCGCCGTGTTCTCGCGATTCGTGCGCCAATTGTGGGACTGCCGTCCCTGGAGAATGCACACTATGTGTTGTGGATCGGGCTGGCCGTCTTCGTGCCTCCAGGCCTCCAGCTGCATGCACGTGTTGGTAAAGCCATGATTCGCGTTTGGCACGGACATCCTCCTTCGGACATCTACCCGTTGCGCGATGTTCGCGGGCAGCTCGTTGCGCGCTTGGCCGACGTCTTCGAGCGGAGAGATGCTGCCCCATCGTCCAGCCTCGCTGCATCGTCGCACAGCCTGTGTGCGACGGCTCGTGTTGTGTGCTTGTCGACTCCCTGCGCGACCGCTGTCGAGCGCGAGGGCGTTTTCGACATTCTTTTCCACTTGCCAGAGAAGGAACACGTCTGTGTGTGGATGTGCCGCCTAGCGCAGCCGCTCTCCTCTTGTCTGCACGACGACTCGCGCAGCGCAGCACCACATCATCAACGCCAGGTGGAGTTGACGCGAAATGTGCCCTGCGATACAGCCAACCCGCATACCCATCGGTCGTTGAAAGTAGGTATTTCTGGATCCCCAGAAGCCGATCTACTTCAAGCGCCTCCCTACTTCAAGAATCGGTATGGTTTGGCTGTCGTGTGCTACGTATTCTTTTGGCAGGCCCGAACCCAATCTACCTTGTCCGCCTTCCTACTTCATGGTTCTACCTACTTCTTCCGACCGGCGTGTAGTGAGGATGAGCGACATTTCAAGGTTACCCTTGCATCCTCCCCCTTCCGCCCATCCTTGGCCGCTTTCGCTGGCCGCGCCCCGCCCGCAAGGTGTCGAAATGGCATTCCAAGGCTCTTGCATCCTTATCGCGCATGCATACCATACGGGTTGACTGCAGGCGCGTGCGACGACCAGGCTTTCAAGCGCGGCTGACGAGTGCCTCGTTCCACCCTTCCTGCCAGTCCCTGATGCATGTGCGTACATGCTGTGTTCGCCTCCGTCCTGTTGCGTGCAGTTCTTTGCAACCGCCTTTCACAATTTCTGCTTCTCTCCTCTCTGTCCCCCGAGGAGCTGCAATATATTACTTGGATGTTGAGCATGCTGGAGGGCAACCGCATGATCGTTTGGGTCGCGCCCCCTTTGCAGCGTAGTTTTTGCGCCTTGAGTGCCGGGGGGGACTCCGGAAAGAGCGTGACTTGGCGACGGGTGGCTTGTGTGATGTCCTGCGGACGAGAGGACTGGACAACAACGTATCAGTGGTCACGCACTGCAGGGGCGTGGTCTTTCCTACTTCGTGCGTCCGAAGTGGATAAAACGGCGAAGACAAGACGGAGATAGGAAATTACGTTTTCATATTGCGCCTCATCGTGATCGTTTTCCTCCACTGTCCTGGCTTTGCGATGGGCCGACGCCGCGGGCGCGACGCGATTATGCTGCGCCAGCATTGGAAGTACAGAGAGCCACGGTCGCACCGGTTAGGAGGAGGTGTATATTTGTGTGCGTGTCTCTCTATCACTCTCTCTTTCTCTCTCGGTCTCTCTCTCTCTCTCGCTCTCTCTCTCTCTCTCTCTCTCTCTCTCTTTGCCTCTCGCTCATATGTCCCTCTCTATATATGCGCATTCATAGATACCGATTGTTATGAGTATATAGGCATGTGTACAACTAGATCGAGAGAGCAATGTGTATGTAGTATTAAAAATGCGTGCACATGTAGCGGGGAGGCAGGGCGAGGGGCCCTAGGGCCAGGTCGACTCGCGACTGGGGGGGGGGCAGGGGGCCGACCGGGCATCCCCCGAGGACGTTGGCCAAGCTTGGAAGCCCAAAATGGCTTCAAAGCGGCCGAATGTACTTCAACGACGGGCCAATACACCTCCAAGGCTGTCCAACATGATCCGACGAGGCCCCCAGACAGATCCTTAGACTGCCGAGGACGCCCGATTAACCGAATGCCCCTGATAATAAAGCATCCCCCGCCCCTTAAGACTTGAGTGTTGATTATCCCTGGCCAAGACAGTTTTGATCGGCGGCGGGGTGCGGCGGGGCCGAACTTCATTATCACAGGGGAAACTACGAATCGTAGATTGGATCTTCTTGTCATGAATCATCCCTCTTATCATTTTTGTGAGGACGCCTCAGTGGCGCAAGTGGCTACTGCTGCTAGTGGTGCACGACCCCTCCCCCTCGTCCCCATGATCATCCTCATCAGCATCCTCAGCATCCTCCTCAACATCCTCTTCCCCGGGAAGAAAATTGTGATCCTCCCTGGACCCCGAACTTTCTTATCCCCACCCTGTGAACCTTAGGGCCATAAGGTAATCCTCTCCAGGCAACCCCAGGCAGCCCAAACAGGCCCGCGAAGAAGCCCCAAACAGTTAAATGTGTCGATTCACATCTAGCCTTTGCCAGATTTTCGCCCAATAGACTTCCGATATCGACCCCGGACGGCCCTCAAGTGCCCCAAAGAGGGGCCCGGAAAAGACCGAGACCGTCTGAGAGGTGCCCAAGCGGCCCAAGAGGCTGTAGTCACAATGCGCCCCAAGAGCCCCCCTGGAAAGGCCCCAGGCGGCCCTCCGATGGGGGCCCCCAAAACTGCCACGGTGGGGCCAGCGTGCCCTTCTCCTGCCGCCCAAGCAGAGCCCCCGGTCGGCCCAGAAGGGCCCAGGTGGCCCCACAGAGCTCCGTGGTACCCGTGCTGCAGAAGACCCTCAACAGTTTTGCAGTGTTGCGATGAGGGGGCCAAAATACAGTCAAGACGCCGAAATCAGGAACAGCTTGGGTTCGGAAGGGGCTCGATGCTCCTGAGGTTCCTCCAGTGCTGTTCCTCTTGCCCTCCTGGGGCACGGAGGCGCGCTTACAAGGCCAAGAAGGGGCGTCGTTCCTTATTTAATCGCCTCGCTCATTCCGCCGGCCCTCGAGCGCTCTATGGGGCCTCTTTGAAGCCTCTTGGGGGCCTCTTTGGGGCCTCTTTGGGGCCTCTTGGGGGCCTCTTGGGGGTCTCTTGGGGCTCCTTGGCGGCGTCTTGGGCCCCCTTGGGCCTCTTGGGGGGCTCTTGGGGGGGGCCAAGAAGGGGCTGCGTTCCTTATGTAGCGCTCCTTCTTTCGGCCGCCCGACGGTAGAGGGGCCACGATGGGCCGCCGAGTTCGCGGCCCCGGCTCCCTCAGAACCCTTCAAGCCTTGGCAGACTCGGGGGCGGAAAAGAGGGGGGTGATGACTAGGGGGGGGTGGATATCATGGCGGGGGCCATGATATTTCCCCAGATTTCATGGCGGCCCTTCTTATTTCATTACGTCCCTGGCCCCCCCGCTGGTCCGCGCACATGCCGACGGTCATGATTTGCACCCCCCCTCTTGGACACCCCCCTCTTGGCCGCTCCCGAATAACGTACCCGTACGGATAGATTGCTTCTACTACCGGTACTCCTACGAATGGTTCGAACGACCGCCTGTCGGGTGATGAGGAGGTTCGGGGGGACGAACCAACGTCTGCCTCAATCGGTATCGCGGTCGATCTAATATCACGAGTGATTCCAGTATCGATCTCACTATCGATCTCACGATCGATAGCACTATCGATCTCATTGTCGATCTCATAATCGATCTCACAATCCGTCCCACTATCGATCTCACTATCGATCTCACTATCGGTCTCGTTTGATCGATCCCGCCATCGATCTCACAATCGATCACACACAATCCATATAACTATCGATATTACTGTCGATCTGATTCTGGATCTCGCTATCGGTCGCACGATCGATTTCACTATCGAGCTCACTATCGGTCGGAGGTTTGGGGGCGAGATCGAAGTGGAGGGAGAGTCCCCCACCTTGAAATCAGTTCCAGTTTCGGGGTCGTGTCGTGCGTGAGGGCGAGGCGAAGCTGCGTGGGCGGGTCGGTGTCCCGCCGGTGTGGCGTCGGTGTCTTGTCGGTGTCCCGTCGGTGCCCCGTCGTGAGATCGATAATGAGATTAATAATGAGACCGATAGTGGGATCGATAATGAGATCGATAGTGAGAACGCTAGTAGTACCTATACGACCACTTTTCGGGCGATAAGGAGGTTTTGGGGGGGACGGAACCAACGTCTCACTCAACTGATCTCACCACCGATGTTACTATCGATCTCATCAGTGCTCTCACAATCGACCGCACTATCGATGTCGCTCTATCGATCTCACTTCGAATCGATCCCCCAAGTCTCACTACGAATCTCACTGGAAACCATCTGGACACGACCAGGCCACAATCATACAGTGGAAACACCATCGGAAACGCAACATCGAGGGCACCATCGAAAACCCACCAGGACACCAAAGGGGCACCAATCGGGACACCAACGTGTCGTTTGGCCCGGCGGCGCTCTAGCCAGAGGAGGTTTCTTTCTTCGGCCGCCCACGCAGCCTTGCCTCGCCCGCACTCTTGACACGAACACGAAAGTTTCGTGTTCGTGTCAAGCGTGCGGGCGAGGCGAAGCCGGTTCGGTTTCGGTTTCGTGACGAAGCCGAGCCGAAACCGATTTAGCGGTGGGGGCTCCGTCTCATGACGATCCTACCTTTCCAGCACCGATCATGGCGAATGCGATTACGAATGTGAATACTTGTACTCGCAGTATCAAGCAACTGAGAGTTTCATTGCGGCCACGAGTAGTACTAATAGGGGCACGAGTACGAATGCGAGAGCTATTGCCAATACGATTGCTAACCTGACGTGTGGTATCATGTTTAGAGCTACTGACAGTATTCTTAATGCTGCTGTTGGTCGTGATCCCGTGACTAATGCGAGAAGGAAAGCGATTGATGCGGGTTATGCACTCGGAGGCCACTGGAGGCTACAGAAGACCACAGGAGGCCACAGGAGGCCACGGGTGACCACGGGAGACCAATGCGCCCGATCTGCTCCAGATCCAGCGATCCCCGCATCCGGTCTCTGCGGAGAGTCGGATCGGACCCTCACAGGCAAACTGCCATGGGGGGGGGAGGCACACAGCGGCCGGAAGGGCACACACCCCAGATGGCCCCAGACAGCTCCCAACTCGCCCCATAGGGCCCCCAGCACGGCCAGAACCATTGCCCCATTGTTTTCAAGCCAGGCCAGAATACTCCCTAGAGGCTCCCAAAGGCCTTCTGAAGACCCCCAAGATGGACCATCCAGCATTAACCCAAGTGGCTCCAAGCATGCGTCCAAGTAGTACCAAGCCGGCCCAAAGACGGAGGCGGAGGAGGTGGCGCAAGAGGACCCTCCAGAATGCGCACAGGAGGTTCCAAGACGGCCTGCTGGCGGATTCAGGTAGAGGTGGTGACGGAGAGCATGCAGCTGAGGATGAGGAGGAGACGCCTTTGGGAGGGCCAAGAGATACCAGAAATTGCCCAAAGACGTCCACATGCGCCAACAGGAAACTGCACATGCCGCACTCGGCACGAGCAGCCCCAACACCGCCCTGACAGGCCGCCGCCCACCTCTCCCCCTACCTTTTTACTCCCTTCACTTCTCATTTCTTCGCTCCTTGCCCTTTCTCTCGCCTTCCCTGATGTGCTGTTTGTTCTCTTCCCCGGACCTCCCTCCACCATCATTCCTCCCCCCTCGGGCCGCACGAGAGACGCCGGAGAGGGTCCGGGACGGGCCAGGGCTCCTGGGCTGGAACCACGGTTGCACCGAAGATGACTCGAAGCCGCCGTCCAAATTGTTTGATGTTAGTGTCTGATGGGGAGGCTGCAGCGCTGTGCCCTGGTGCCTCGGCTAACGAGAACTTGAGCGCGCGCGAGTCGTGCGCGAAGGTTCTAGCGCATGAGCATATATATTCTCTCTCTCTCTCGTTCTATCTCGCTCTCGTACTCTCTCTCTCTCTCTCGCTCTCTCTTCATATGCTTCATCATATGCATGTTTTGCTACGTATAGGCCCTCCCTCTATCTCTGTTCCCCCCCCCCCCTCTCTCCCTCCCTCTCCCTCTTCACCTTATCTCTCTCTCTCTTTCTCACTCTCTTCTCTCTTCTCTCGTCTCTCTCTCTCTCTCTCTTGCTTTATCCATATCTCTCTTTCTCTCTCTCTCTCTCTCTCTTTCTCTTTTTATGTATCCATCGGATCCACTACCCCACCGCCTGTCGTATCTATCTTGGGACGCCAGTCCCGAGGGCCCGAGGGATGCATGGAGGGTGGTCGGCGAGAGAGGCAGCCCAGATCCACGACGTCGCGATTGTTCTGCAACTTGGACCCATGGTCGGCGGCGAGCGAGGGGGGGAAGTGAGAAGGAGAAGGCCTTCTCAGAAGGGTCGGATCTTCCACGGCCTTCTGAGAAGTGTTCTCAGAAGGGGCGAGGGCTTCTGAGAAGTCCGGCCGCCTTCTGAGAAGGCTTTCTCCTCACTTCCCCCCCCTCGCTTGCCGCCGACCTATAGGTCTCGACCAAATCCCGTGACACGCTTTTCATCCTGAGTCGTCATTGGCCCCAGTGCCCAGGGAGCCCGGAGCCGTTCATGGATGCCGTGGTGTTTTTTCTCGCGGAGCGAGGCGCTCTGGGAGACGTGCTCTTTCGACAACCACAGAAACAACGGAGCCCATGCCGTGGCCATCGGGAGGGGAGAGATGGAGGTTGGGAGGGCAGAAGAAGAGGAAGGGGGACAAGGGGGCGAAGGGAGGAGGAGCAGGACAACGGGGGAGCGCTAACACCGCGATCGCAGCCTTTCCCGGACCCCGAAAGCGGAAGCACGAACATCGCGATTCCAGTCCATCCAGGTCGTGGATCCAGGGCTACACGTCCCCCAAATCCGGGGGAGGGAGGTGGGCAGGATCGAAGAACGAAAAGCTGCATAAACTGGGAATTGTTGGAGCTCCGCGCGGATTGCTTGGATCGGGCTTGGGTCGGCGTTGATACCCCCTCCCTGGCGCGCGGAGCGCACCAGGGGCGGCGCCGGAGTCCGGAGGCGACGCCAGGGGGGCCCAGCGCCGATCCAAGAAATCCGGGCGGAGCTCCACAAGTTGATGTTTATCCCGCCACTGGTCCTCTACACCGGGCGGAGCTAGGACGAGGACAAATCAGTTCCAGAGAGTCCTGAAACGCTTTCAGAGCGTTCCAGAACGCTCTGAGAAGGCCGCGGCGCCCGAGACATCCTCCAGAACCGCCAGATCTCAGAGATTCTCGATTTCTCCTCGCCCGAATGTATCCTTGTCCTGGCTTCGTCTCACTACAGGAGAAGGAGAGGGCGATGGGAGAGGGAGTGGGGCGGAACCCCATCCAGACCCTCCAACGAGGGAGGGAGGGGCGGGGCGGGGCGGGGCGGGACGAGGGAGGGACGGAGAAGGGGAATGGAGGGGAGGGCAAGGGAGAGGGGGGAGGGAGGAGAAGAGGAGGAGGAGGAGGAGGGAGGAGGGAGAGGAGGAGGGGAGGAGGGAGAGAGGATGGAGGAGGAGGAGGAGGAGGAGGAGGAGGAGGAGGAGGAGGAGGAGGAGGAGGAGGAAGAGGAGGAGCAGGAGGAGAGGAGGAGGAGGAGGAGGAGGAGGAGGAGGAGGAGGAGGGAGGAGGAGGAGGAGGTGGAGAAGGAGGGGGAAAGGGGATGGAGGCAGCAGGGGGGGAGGGGGAGCAGTGGCGTGCGGCAGGCCTCCAGGGCCCGGCGCTGCTGGCCCTGCTGGCGCTCCTCGGCGCGCCCACTGCCGCGCTGCTGCTCGGCGTGTTCGGCCGGGGGGGCGGGGGGGGGAGGAGGGAGGAGGGAGGGGAGGAGGGGGGGGAGGGAGGAGGGGGGAGGGGGGAGGGAGGGAGGGAGGAGGAGGGGAGGGGGTTGGGGATTGGATCCTCCAGGGGAGGGAGAGGAGGAAGGGGAGAGGAGGAGGAAGGAGGAGGAGGAGCAGGAAAGGGAGAGGGAGGGGAGAAGGGAGGGCGAAGAGGAGGAAGGAGGAGGGCGGAGGGGGGTGGGAGGAGGGAGGAGGGAGGAGGAGGAGGAGGGCGGAGGGAGGAGGGAGAGGAGGGATGAGGGATGAAGGAGGAGGAGGAGGAAGAGGCGGAGGAGGAGGAGGAGGAGGAGGAGGAGGAGGAGGAGGAGGAGGAGGGAGCAGGACGAGGAGGAGACGAGGCAGGGGGCGCATGCAGCCCTCTCGCGCGCCCTCTCGCCCTCGGCGGGCGGGGGGCCCCAGCGGCTCTCTCTGCCCCCCCCGGAGCTCCGCCCCGGGCCCCGCCAGCTCGTGGGAGGGGCGCCGGGCCACCTCGGTCGACCAGACGTCAGAGTGGCCTCTCGCCGGAGTGACCTTTGGTGCGGGCCCGACGGGGTCTTCCGGGCGCCGGCTGCGATGCGATAGTAGCGTCCTGCGCGCTTGGGTGTGTCCCCCTCCCCCCCCTCCCGCGGTCACCCCGAAGCCGCGCACCAAAGGTCACCCTCACCTTGGGCCACTCTTGCGTGTAGTCGACTCGGCCCGATCGGCCCGAGCCGATGTCTCGGGACGCCGCCCGACATGGGTACGGAAAGAGGGGGTACAATGCGCAACAGTTGTTCCTGTTCATCTTGGACAGGATTCGCTGCCCACGCCGCCGCGGCCCGTGCCCGTTCGGGACAGAAGGCCGCCTGAGCGGCCGCTGTTGGTTTGGGACCACACTTGTTTTTTGGGCATTGTGCCCATTCTTCCCGTACCCATTTCGGGCGTCCAATGTCGATCTCGAGCTCCTTCGGAGGAGGAAGGGGTACCCTCAAGCAGTTGCGGAGCGCCCTGGCTCGCCCACAGGCCTACCAAGCAATGTTCTGAGAACCTTGTCTGGTCTCCACGACATGTTCGTGGAACAGTTCTGGCTGGGACGGTCTTGCTTTAACACATCGGGCTTCTGTTCTGAGAACATTGTTTCTGTTCTTCGAACAGTTTGGGGTTCTAAAGACTATTTCGTGGTAGGCCTAGAGGAATGCCGGGACGGTCGGTCCTTGCTCAGTACACATACCGCTACCTTACCTCTCTTTTTCCCCTTTTTGGGCCTCCTGGGCGGCCCTTTCTCGCCACCGCTGGATTCGCCTCGAACTTTTGGCCACAACGCACCCCAGGAGAGCTCCGGGCAGCAGCGGCACCGACACCTTGGCTGCCGTGCGGCCCCCTGCCTGCGTGGCGCTGTGGTGCAGCCCGGCGCGGCCTGGCTGCCTCGGTTCCGACTCCGTGCCGGTGCGGCCCGATCCGACGCACGCCCCGAGCCGAGCCGATGTTTCGATTCGATGCTGTCCGTCCCTGCCGGGCGGAAGGAGAAGTGGGAAGCAGGAGGAGGAGGAGGAGGGGGAGGGGGAGGAGGAGGAGGAGGCGGAGGAGGAGGAGGCGGAGGAGGAGGGGGAGGAGGAGGAGGAGGGGGCGGAGGAGGAGGAGGAGGAGGAGGGGGAGGAGATGGAGGCTCCGAGTTTTGGAGGGCTCGAGGCTGTGAAGTGTTATTGCGTTGTTTGCCTTTGTGGGCCTTTGGGGAGCGTCTCGTCGCCAAGGCTGGATCCACCTTGAAATTACCGTCAACATGCACCGTAAGAGTGGTGTGTCAGTGTACGCGTGATTGCGTGTGAGTGTCTGTGGTTGCGTGCTTGTGTCCTTGTGCGCTTGTGTGTTTGTGTTTGTGTGTGGTGTTGTGGTTGTGTGTTAGCGTGCCTGTGTTTGCGTGTGTGTGTGTGTGATTGTGTGTGCTTCGGTGTGTGCTTGTGTGTGTGCTTGTGTATATGTGTAGGTGTCTGTGTCTCTGTGTGTGTGTGTCTGTCTGCCTGTGTCTGCCTGTGTGTGCCTGTGCGTGCGTGTTCGTGTGTGTGTGTGTGTTTGTGTGGTTGTGTGTGTTGGTGTGTGTGTGTGTGCGTGTTGCGTGTGTGTGTGTGTGAATGTCTGTTTGCGTGTGTGTTTGTATGCGGCTGTGCGTGGTTGTGTGTGGTTGTGTGTGGTTGTGTTTGTTTGTGCGTGTTGTGTGTGTGGTTGTCTGTGTGTGTTGTGTGTGTTTGTGTGTGGTTGTGTATGCTGTGCGGTTGTGTGCGTGTTCTATGTGTGTGTAGTTGTGTTGTTGTTGTTGCTGTCGTGTGCATTCCGTGCTTCCGTGATTATGTATTGATGTGCTTGTGTGGTTGTGTGTGTCTGGGTGGGTGGGGGGGGGAAAGGCGTGCGTGCGTGCGTGCGTGAGTGTGTATGTGTGCGTGAGTGCGTGTGTGTGTGTGAGCATGTGTGTGTAATTCTGTGTGTGGGAGTGGGTGGAAGTGTGTGCTGTGTGTGTGTGTTTGTTCGCTGGCCCTCCACCGCCGGACCTCGGGGCACCTGCCGGCCGCTTTGCGCTCTGGCGGCGCCTGGCAGCTCCTGCTGCCTGCACGCGGACCCCCCCCCCGCGACGACTGCACCGCTTCCACGGTGGCCCCAACGCCGCTCCCCTGCACGCCCGTCTGCGGCTACCTGCTGCCACATCCACAACCTCTGCATGCGTGTCATTCGTCTGCAGCCCAGCCTACGGCTCCCCGCTTGCCCACCATCCACAGCGCTGAGGTGGCGATGCTCTTGCTCTCATGTGGCCCATGCAGGACTTTGCAACGGTGCCGTCACCTTGACGGACGAGGGAAAGTGCGTCGCCTCCTGGCTGCTCACGCAGGGCGACATCTTCCAGCTCTCCCTCTTGGGACCTGATTGCACCTGCCCAGCGTTCCCTGCGCCGCGGCCGCTAGTGCCAGCCTTCTTGTCGCCCACGCGCGCGCTCCCAACAGCGGGTGCGTCTCTTCCGCACCTTGGGCCAAGCTCTAAACAGTCCAACTGCACTCTGGCGACCGGTTCTACCGTTCTACCGCGCGCCATTAATCTACAATCTTGGGTACCTACAATTCATGCAAGTAGCCATAACTACCGAGGTGAGTTGCACCGAGGTGAAGTGCACTCCGAGTAAGGGGTGCTAACTAAGTATCTCCCCGTACTGTAATTCGCGGCGGTGTTGTCACCTCGCTGAGGGAGGAAAGTTTCGCACGTTGTGCACCAGCTATCCCTGGACCCATACGGAAGCATTGTTAAAAGGCGATTGTGACAGAGCACACTTGTGAAATCCGCAAGCTTATATTTCGACGCAAAAGTTGAACGCTTTCGTGGAAGGCGGTCGAGGGCGAGCAGCAAGACACCGCACAACACCCAGGGGCACGCGACTCGCGGCTTCTGCTGTGCCGCTCATGCTGCAGAGTGCGCAACTGTTTTTTCCGAGGGCCGAACGATGCTACACAGGATTTCTCCACCCACCAAACCACCCCAACCCAACCCGAAGGGTCGGATTTACCCTCGATTTCTAGTGGGGGGGGTCCGGGAACATCGACAAAAACACACATGGAGCCCATACCCCCCCCCAACCCGAAATTCGGGTCTTCGGGTTGGGTTGGGGTGGTCTGGTATCAGGACTCGCAAGTTCCAGCCCCGCGACTCCGGGGGCCCACCTCCGCTGCCGAGGCCACGCCAGAGCCCACGCAGGACCCGGCCCTGCCTTCGGCACGCCCCGCCTCCGGCGGTGGCCCACAGACAGCCGGCGAAAGAAATCGCAGGTACAAGCGACGGCGGCTCCGCCGGCGGCTCCGTTGGCGGAGGGCGGCGGAAGTCAACGCGGCACGTCAGCATCGACTACACGTAAGAGTGACCTTTCGCCGGAGTGACCTTTGGTGCGGGCTCATCGGGCTCCCCCCGATCGCCGAGCGCGATGCGATGTCAGCGGCCCGCGCCCTTGGGTTTGGCTCCCTCGCGCCCCCAAAAGCTGCGCACCAAAGGTCACTCTTACCCAGGGTCACTCTTACGCCTAGCCGACAACAGTTGCGGGGCGGGGGTCATCGAGAAGAAAAGGCAGCGGACATGGGGCCTACTAATGCGATGAAGACGCAGCCTCACTGAGGCCCCCGTCGTCGCATTCGGGGTAAGAAATCTGGGCGGTTTGGTTTGATGCATGTGCAGAAAAGACCCCCTATCCCTCATGCTCTTCGCCATCGTCACTGCGGTCCCCTCCCAGAGGGTCAGGGGAGCTTTTGTTGGTTGAACAGGGGAGGGGGCTCCTGGAAGCGGCCCACGCGCCTGCCGGGCCCGCGGCCAGGCACTCTGCCCGCAGGCCACGGGCGCCTGCGGGCGGAGCGCGCGGGGCTACCTCCCCCCCGAATGGCGCCGGCGCGCTCGGGCCGCGGTCCGCCCGGCTGCGCCAAACTTGGCACCGCTCGGGCGCGTGCACGCTCCTCGGCGAGGCCGGCGCCAGAGAGCCTGCAGCATCCTGGAGCACCCTGGGCCCTTTTGAGAAAAAACGGTTGTCTTAGTCATCGTTTTGCCGATCGGTGCTGGCCCTCAGACAACCTGCGACGGGCCGCACAGAGCACCAGCCCGGTGTTGCCGGCGGCAGTCATGCTCCTGGGTTCCATGTGCCCGGCTCACCTGGGCCACGTGCGGATGCTGCACCAGGCGACAGTGCGGCTTAGGCGCACATGCTGTTAGGTGCTCGGCGGCTGGCTCTCCCCGTCGAGTAGCCTGCAGGCTCCTCAAGAGCCCCTGCGCCGATCCGCCGCTGGACCACCTGACTCTGCTCAGCGACATCAAGCTGCGGGCGGCGATGGACTCCGGGGATCGCGCCTTCGTCAATCGGGCGACCACACAGAGCCTTGCACAGTTCCTGCTGGAACCCTCGCCAAAACTGCACACACACACACACACACACACACACACAGTTTTACGTAGATCTCGCGAGGCGGAAATCGACGCCGGAGGGCGCCTGGCCCAGCGAGAAGCTGATGCAGCGCCTCGTGACAGCCCCGGACAAATCTCCCGCGGTGCTGGTGGCGACGGGCGCGATGAGCCCGACCCACGGGGGCCACGTGCTGATGACGCGGCAGGCCAGAAGGCTCGGCTGGAGCGCTGCGGCTACGCCGTCGTCGGGGCCGTGCCTCTCTCCCGCTGGCGACATATAGGCCGAGGAGACGGGCAGCGCGCAGCTCACAGCTGGGCGTTCCGGCGGAGGGCGGCGGAGCTCTCGGCCTGCCATGGCGGCCTCGTGGCCGTGCGGTCGGAGGAGCCGCGCGAGCCGGGCGGGGCAACCACCGCACAGGACTTGTGCCGCGAATTGCAGCAGTACTTGTCGGACCGCTTCTGTGCCTCTTTGGATTAAGTCGGGCGTGTCCCCCTATTGGGGGATTTTGGGCGAAAAAAATACAAATACGGACAAATATTTCAAAATGGTTTTAAAAAATTACTCACAAAAAGGTCCCCAGACTATTTTTGACTATTTTTGAATCCTCCCCCTGTAGAGGGACAGGCCGGACTTAATCTTTGGAGGGCCAGACGGTGCGCGTCGTCTTCGTCGGCTGCATCGACGCGGCCGAAGAGGGCAGCCTCTACTCCGGCGTCCTGCACCACAGGGGAGCTCGGCGTGGTGGTCGTGCCCTTGGAAGACGAGGAGCCGCGCCTCGAGGTGCCCAGTCAGCTCGTGTACGTGGCGGATCCCCTCCCAGAAAACGCCTGCCCCTTCAGCTCCTCGAAGGTGCGCGCGGCCATCAAGGAGAGCAATGTGGAGGCCGCTTCCCAGGGCATGGCCCCAGCGGCAGCCCGTTTCTTGGTGGCCCCAACGGAGCGGAGCGCACGGAGGGGCCGGCGGACTACGAGACGCCGGGAACGAGGAGCTTGGAGCCCGAGGAGCTGGACCAGGCCGTGGACAGGCCGAAAGAGACTTTGCGAGCCTGGGCTGGTCCGCAAGGCTGCGCGCACACATCTGGCCTCGCCAAGCTGCTGCGCGCCGTCGACCCCTCGTGGACGGAGGAGGTGAACTCCTTCATGGACTGCGCCGAGATCTCGCCCAAAGACACGGTGCCATCAGCCGGGCTTGCCGACGGCATCCTCGTCCACTGCCACAGGCTGTCGATCTGACTGGCAGCCGGCCAACGGCAGCTTTCCAAGCGCAGCCTCGATCGCCCGGCGCCTCGCGGGAGCGGGCCCCTGCGGACGTTGGAGCGGAGGTTTGGTTGACTCGAACACCCAACGTGCGTTATGTGGCCTCCAACCCACCCCCGCCCACCCAGTAGCTGACATAACGCCCTCCGCTTCACCCACCCCCGTTGCAGCAGCGCCTGTTGTCTAGCGCACAGGTATGTTGTTCCTAGCGCGCGCAACGTGTTATATCATGTGCCAGCGAGCCCGCCCACCCACCCAGCCACATAACGCACGTTATGTTGTTTCAAACACAAACATACTTGAGCCCTTGCGGGATGGCGTGAGAGGCTCATTGGAGATGAGGACGTGGCCGAAGACCGACTGCGTTGGGGTATTCAAAAGCAACAGCTCTCCACGGTGGTCAAGTGCAAGGGAGCAGATCATTCGTCGTCCTCCCCTCCTCATCTGTGAAAAAAGCAGGCGTGGCTGACTCCTACTCGGTCCCCGCTTTCGATTGCTAATTCTGAATACCTTCAGTGTCGGAGCAAGCGGCCCCAGTCATTCAGCGATCTGACGATGTGGCAGTGTGCCCAACTGGCGGATGCTCAGACAAGATAGTCGGAAGAAATCTGGATTATGTTGTGCAGGGTGCGCAAGAATCCGCGAGAGTCCGATATGTTTAGCAATGACATCTCTTGTGTAGTGCACACCTGCGCATGCACATCCAGCTTCCCGCGGCCCGATCTGACTTGGCGGGAGTAGTTCACATAACTTGCTGGTTTTCAGTCACGTTCTTCCCCGTCGTCCTTCATATTCGGAGGTTCTTAGGGGTATTTCAACATGCTGGTCCGAATTCTCGTTTTCCCCCCTCTTCCTGCACATTCGGAGATTATTGGGGGTCTTTCCCGTCACCTACTGGTCCACAGTCTCGTTCTGCCCCCTCTTCCGTCATGTTTGAGTTTTCTTGGTGCCTGTCAGAGGACCAATTGGGGACCTCTATTATAAAAGGCGCCTTTGGGGAGGGGTGGGGGCGCTGACTGTCTCGGTCGTCGTTGGCGGGATGTTGTTGAGATCTCGCCAGAAGAGGTTCGGTTGAATCATCTGGGGAACGGTTGGGCGGGTTTGGGGGCCGTCCTCATGCGGCCATTTTGGGTCGTTTGGGCGTTTCGTTGTGGCTCTCGTGAGCCTTCCTGAGGCAGCCTGCAGCCAAACGTTCGTTTCAGAGTATAAGCCGCTTGAAGGAAATTCGTATGATGCCCCAGCGCCTGAACTTGCACTGGTGAACAAGAACTGGTATGGCTTCTGATGCAGCTCCTTCCCTTATTCTCCCTCGTTCCGCTCCCCATCGGTGACTGTCTGCTCCCTCCTCATGTTGCTGTCGGTGATCGTGTCGCAGTTGTCTGCTGCGCTGTTGCTCCTAGTCGTCGCCCTCCTCCCTTCTTCCTCTACTCGCGTCCCTGATCCCCCAACTCCTCCTCCTCCTCCTCCTCTTTCTCCTCTTCCTCCTCCTCCTCCTCCTCTTCCGCTTCCTACTCCTGTCTCCCGCATGCTGGTGAAGTTTTGATTTTTCGCACAGCAACTGTGCTCAAGCAATGATGCAGCCCATCCAGCAACGATGCTCAAGCGTTGCGTTGATCAGGGACGTTCGGGAGCACGCATTGGAAGAAAAAGGGGGCAGCCGTCAACCAGAAGATCGGGACCTGCCTGAGTAGGCCCAGGAGTCAGCCGTACATGCCTTCGCGGATCGTTCGATTCAGGAGCGTCTTGGCAGCCTACCCAGGCCATCCCAGGGCCCCGTTGGGGCAACGTTGGAGGTCTTTCGGTCATGCTGGGGCCGTCTTGAGGGACGTCGAGCCCTCTTGGAGCCTTCTTGAAGCCTTCTTGGGGTCTGGTTGGGTCCGCTTCGGGGCCTCGGGCGCCGTAGTGGGACAATCTTGGAGGACATCGGTCAAAGAGGGGGGTTCACTTTAGCCTCCTCCTCAGGAGTCGCGGCAAGCCCTTCCTTTCCACCAGAGGATGCGAGGAGCGACCCCCTGAGACACGAGCACCCGACGGGTCTGCTGGTGGGGCGAGAGTCCAGTTCTGAACAGGAGTTGCCCTGCATCCTTTTATCGGGTGTCACGCGACAAGGTGGACGAGGAGGAGGAGGAGGAGGAGGAGGAGGAGGGGGGAGGAGAAGGAGGAAGAGAAGGAGGAGGAGGAGGAGGAGGAGGAGGGGAGGAGAAGGAGGAAGAGACGACGACGAGGCAGGACAACACGGTCCAGCGAGGCGTCCAGCGAGAGCCCGTTGTTTTTGAAGAGGAACCGCCCCCCACCGGTGTAATTGTTGCAAACTGTTGCGCTTCTGGCCGTCCAAAGTAACGAAAGCTCAGAGGAGGGAGGAGGGAGGAGGAGGAAGGAGGAGGAGGAGGAGAGGAGGAGGGAGGGGGAGGAGGAGGAGGAGGAGGAGGGGAGGAGGGGAGGAGGAGGAGGAGGAGGAGGAGGAGGAGGAGGAGGAGGGAGGAGGAGGAAGGAGGAGGAGGAGGAGGGGCCTGAGGACCTCCGTCATGTTGGAAAGGAGCCGCTCTCCATCCGCACAGCTGTCACACCTGTGCAAGCTCCTCGCCGCTAGACTGGAGGAGGTACCAGGTGAGAGCCCGATTCGAAAGAGAAAGAAATGCCCGCCAGACGTGTTACTGTTGCACACGTGTACACCTGCGTTTGCATCGTGTGCAGAGGCACCAGGCGAGATCCGATGTGTGAAAGCGGGCCAGCCTCCAGCAGCATGACAACCATACGCCATTGACGACTGTGCACGCCGCTGGGACGAGAGAGCCTCGTCTCGAAGAGGCCCAGCTGCGTCAGCGCTGCAAGCTTCCAGAGCGAAAGGCGCGTGGCGCCAGGGCGAGAGCCCGGCGCTTGAAGAGGACCTGTGGGAAAAAACACACGCCGTGGGAAAACACACACACACACACACACACACCGTGGGACAAAACACACACACACACACACACACACACACACACACACACGCTGTGGGAAAAAACACCACACACTGTGGGACAAAAACACACACACGCACACAAACACACACACACACACACACACACACACACACTGTGTGTGTGTGTTTTTTGTGTGTTTTGTGTGTGTGTTTTCCCACAGTGTGTGTCTTTTTTTCCCACAGCCTCCATCCGTGCGACTGCAGCAAGCTTTTGCAACGACTGTGTGCGGCGCCAGGACGAGAGCCCCCTTTTGAGGAATGCCCCTCCGGACGTGCAGCGGCCGGCAATCTTCGGACTCTGGATCGCACGTCGCGTGGAAGTCGCAAGCGAACCGCCTGGCCCGACCCACGGACGCGTCCTTCCGTGCGACCAGAGGGATTCCGTGGGAAGGAAAAGGAATGGAGGAGGAGGAGGAGGAGGACGAGGAGGAGGAGAGCGAGCATGAGGGGGAGGGGAGAGAGAGAGGGAGAGAGAGAGAGAGAGAGAGAAGAGGCGGCGGGGAAGAGAGGAGGAGGAGAGGGACGGAGAGGAGAGGGGGCGGAGAGGAGGGGAGGGGGGGTCAGGAGGTGCACCAGTCTGGGGAGCAGGTAGGGCAGCGAAGGCCTGACCGCCTTCCACGCATTCCTCGCATGCCGCGGGCGGACGACGAAGGAGCCGCTCTTCGTGTCGGCCGTCCGCGGCATCGGGCGCTCTCGCATCGTGCGGGCGCCTTTCGAAGATGAGTCTGTCTCTCGTTCGCCGCTGCCTTCAATCTCGGCTTCTCTACGTGAGGCACTCGAGAAAGAGCCTCGCCCTCGAGGGTCGAATGAGTCGATATCGCTCCATCGGCGGGAGGCGGCGTAAGCAACACGAGATCGGCCTCCCCAGAGATGGCCGGTTTCTGGGGTTCCGGGTGTTTTGAACCGGCCACGTGAGGAGCCACGTGGGGCGCTCCAGGAAGTGGCCTCGCCCTCGAGGGGCCGAAGGATTGACATCCTTTCCTCGGCGGGAGGCTGGCGGAAGGCGGCGGGAGCAAAAGACGGCGGTGGTTCCGCATGTTTGTATGCAGTTCGGTGTCAAACCATGGGAGCCTCCTTGTATACACTCGCAACTCAGTCTTTAGAGGGCGTTTGCGTCGATTTAGCGTATGGTAGCCGATGAGGTAGCGACGAGGCAGCGTCGATCAGCGTCGACTAGCGCCGATTAGACTCGACTAAACGCCGACTAGCGTCACTTAGCCGCGATTCGCAAGAGCCCACAAGCTGGTACGGGAGACTCAAGAGTTGCTGCAGAAGACGCGGGATTTCCGAAGTCGTCCACATGGCTGTCTCTGTGACCTGTCGGGGGGAGTTCACCTGCACCTTGGCCCCTGCCCAGCTCGATGTGAGCGCACGCTGAAGGTCGAGTCGTCCAAGACCTGGGTCTCTGGCTCCGCTCCCTCGCTTTTTCCGCTCCTCGGAGGGGGGGAGGGGGGGAGGAGGGGGCGGGGAGGGGGGGGAGGGGAGCAGGAGGAGGAGGGTGGAGGAGAGGGGAGGAACTGATAGGGAAGGGGGGGAGGGGAAGGCGGACGGGGGAGGGAGAGGGGGGGGAGGGGAGGGAGAGGGGAGGGAGAGGGGAGGGAGAGGGGAGGGAGGAGGCGCGGGGGGGGGGAGCGAGGCACCCGGAAAACCGACTCGGGTAAGCTGGCCCGAAGGCGCTTCGCAGCCCCCTTTTTTCTCCCTCCTCCCTCCTCCCTCCCTCCGCCGACCCCCCCTCCAAGCACACACTCGATCAACGGTGGCTGCTTTGGGGGGTCTCCAGAAACCCCTGAGAGTCTCTGGACGTTTCTGGGGATCCCGAGAGGTCTCTGGAGATCTCCAGAAGCACATACTTTCCAAACAGCGCATGCACCCACACCCATCAGACATTGTAAGAAAACGCATCCAGATTCATGGGCGCTGGGTTTCGCTTACGAATACCGATGAACTGGAATGGGCCCTGGGCGTTCTCTTAGAGCTTTGTTTTATCCTCGGATCGTCGGATCTCTGGACTTTGACTTCTGCTTAAGAAACCGCTTCGGGTGAGTGCCATCTTCTTCGCCTGGCATGTTTTGACTCTAAGCAAGGGTGTATAGGTCGCCACTCGATTTCTAAGGAACTGGGCCTGTGCGTCGGTCTGGCGGCTCTGTAGTCGCCTTCGCCGCCCCGTCGCCGCCTCGTCGCCGCCCACTGTCTGGACCTGATCGTCGGTCTGGCGGCTATGTAGTCGACGTCGCCGCCTCGTCCCCGCCAGTCCCCTTTGCCTGCGCATCGGTCTGGCGACTGTGTAGTCGCCGTCGCCGCCTCGTCGCCGCCGCACATAATTGCGCCACGTTTGGATCTACCACCCCCACCCCCGGGTTGATAGACCCCCCCTGGGATAGACCAACCTACATGCGATGATGCCCCATCGTTTTCCCGAAATATGAATTCGGACCATCCCACCCCAGCCAGTATCGACCCCCCCCCCTCACCATCGTTAAATCGTACTTTGAACGCACACCCGTTTAGCAAAAATCATGCGTCTCCAAGAACCCATTGCAAAATCATGATGCGAAGTTTATACACACGCGCGCGCGCCGTCGCGCGCGCATGCTGAAATCCGTCAAACACGTGTTTGGTTTCGTACGGATTTCAAGAACGAGGGTCTTCGAAAACACACGAAAAAAGACAATGGTGTTGTAGAAAGTTCCTGTCACCATGTCTTTTTAAACTCGACCAAGCGGGCCTCTCGCCCGCGCATGTCTTCATCATTCGAACGCCCTTGCACGCTGGGGGGGGGGGCACGAACCCCATACAAAAAGTGCGACAAAGTCCACACGCGCGCGGCGTCGCGCTCGCATGCCGGAGGAGTCCTTCAAACACCTTGGTCCCCGCAGAATTTTCAAGATCGAGGTTTCCAGAGACATCTGAGAAGCGAAAACACATGGTTTCGCAAGATGGTTGTTCAAGAACGGTCTGCGCGCGCGCTGGCGCATGCTCACGAACAACAATGTGTTTTTCCCTACCTAGGCTCTGCCTAGAAGTGTTCTTACTCTCTATGTTAAAGGGGCTGGGCAGTGGGGCTCGCCCCGGGCGGTTCCCTCAGGATCCGCCCCGCGGTTCCCCCAGTTACGTCCCCTTAGCTTAGCGTTGCTTATCTCATCTTAGCTTAGCTTATTTCATCTTAGCTTAGCTTAGCGTCATCTTAGCTCAGGTGTATCTTAGCTTAGCTTACCTTCATCTTAGCTCCGCTGAGCTTTAGCATAGCAGAGCACAGCATAGCATAGCATAGCGTAGCATAGCATAGCGCAGCACAGCAGGTCATTGCATAGCCCAGCATAGCATAACATAGCGCAGCATAGCATAGCTTAGCTGAGCTTAACTTAGTTAAGCATAGCCTAGCATAGCACAGCGCATAATGACATAACATACCTGAGCATAGCATCGCATCGCAAAACATAGCGTAGCTTAGCTTAGCTTATCTTAGCATAGCGCAGCGTTGCAACAGCATAGCATAGCACAGCATACCATAGCCAATCATATCATAGCATAGCATAGCATGGCGCAGCATAGCATAGCATAGCATAGCATAGCATAGCATATCATAGCATAGCATAGCATATCGCAGCTTAACATAGCATATCATAGCATAGCATAACTTAGCATAACACAACGAAGCAATACATGTCATAGTTTAGTATAGCATAGCATAGCATAGCATAGCGCAGCAAAGTATAGCGCAGCATAGCATAGCGCAGCATAGCATGGTATAGTATAGCATAGCATAGCATAGCAACTAATGCTGCTTTCCTAGGGGCTCCAACTTCTAGGTAGGGTCACTGGGGTAAGTTTACAGTTTTATCACATGCGACCGAGCGGGCCTCTCGCAAACGCATGTCGAAGTCGTTCGAATGCCCTTGCGTGCGTGCTGGGGTGGCACGATCCCTGTCGCAAGCATCATGCAGGCCATTCGCGCCCGCCGGCCGCGCGCGCAGATCGAAACTATCCCAAAACCTTCATCACGCATGGACACCATCATTGTCATCGGCAAGGTCAGCATCGGCACCGTCATTGGCCTTGCCGTTGTCATTGACACCGTCGTCGCCAGCATCGTTATCATCATCATCAGCATCAGCATAGCCGTCATCATCTTCATCATCAGATTCATCATCAGCATCATCATCCTGTCTGCCGTTGCCGACGTCGCCATGATACCGCGCCCGCCCGAGCCACCGACTCGCACTGAAGTGCCCACGCGTCAGCGCGACCTGCGAGACGCGCTGGGAAGTGTCCAGCGGTCAGCGCCGCCGCGGCCGCGTCGGTCGCGCTAGACTAGCTGGCCGCTCTGCGCGCGAGTCTGCGCGCGCTAGCGCGGCCGCAGCGACGTGCCAGCCAGCGCCAGGCAGTCATTGCATTCGCCGCCGCATGGGTTTTACAAACCCAGTTGCGGGTCCAGCGCAGCTTGTGAGACGCATTGGGAAGTCCGCAGCTGTCAGCGCCACCGCGGCCGCGGCGGTCGCGCCGAACTAGCTGGCTGTTGTGCGCGCGAGCATGCTCGCGCAAGCGCGGCCGCGGGGATGCGCCAGCCATCGCCTCGCACCCGTCGCAATCGCCGCCGCATGGGTTTTCCAAATGAATTCGCGGGTGAGCGGGAGCGATGATTGCGCGAGCAGTGGGGTTGGCAATTCCAGATTGCTCAAAAATAGTTGCACCACAAATTGCACAACCCATATCGCGCAACCAAGGTGGCAAAACATCGATTGAGCTGCATGTATTGGACTACACTTGTCGCGGTCCACCTACACACACATATATTCATGTGTATATATATATATATGTATATGTATATTTAATATATACATACGCTTACGTATATTTGTATATATATATGTAAAATTACAGGCTGAAATAATAGATCGCGCAAAATTTATTTATCCGCATACATGGCACCGCGTACATTGCATTATCTACCTTTCACCACTAGCATGGTACACGATCGATTGCGCAACATACACTGCTCGACGCTCAAAATGTGGGGTCCACGTAACAGATGCCAAGCCGCTGCAGAAATCTGTCGCAGTCGAGCTGCATTGTCGTCGTAGGTACAGACATCGGCGTTCATAGCAACATCGCCGGGACATCCCGAACAGTCGAAGATAGGGACAAAACGAGTCAAACGCGTCAGGGTTTGAAAAAGGCAGCGTCGTCGTCAATCTCTCTTGGCGCACTCCCCCAAACGTATTCCCGCACGGGTGCCGACGGGGCTCGTCGCGTTTCCCTGCGGGCACCTGGTGGGGGCCACGGAGGACGAGCCGGTTGCTCACGGAGCTGCCTCGGCGAAGCACCCGGCGCAGGGCGGGGAACCCTCTGGCGGGGCGTGTCGCGCCGCCGGCTCCGGCCCTTTCGCGCCTCGTCGCGACACGCTCGCCGCGTCCCAGCTCGGGCATGGCCAGGACCCCAGGTAAGGGGGCCCGGTCAGTGGTAGGGCCCCAGAGCTTGTGGATTGGCCAGAATCACAAAACCAGGTTTGCCATATAGCTTGTGTGTTCTCGGGCGGCGGCAGCTCCGGTTCGTGGAACGGGGCCTGGGGGGCGCCCCCCGGTACACACCAGGTCCCACTAAACCCAGTTCTGCCAACGCCCGACCAGTCCCCAAGCGTCAACGCCCCGAGTTTTTGCTGTCGGAGCCTCGTCTTGCATGGCACGGCGTGTCGCCAGAGCCGCTGCCGCGACACTCCAAGCAGCCGGGCCCGGCCGTGCCCTGTCCCTCCGGCCCCTGCAGTTGCTCCTCGCCGAGGAGGACGAGGAGGAGGAAGGGAAGGAGGGAGAAGGAGGGAGGCATGGAGGGAGGGACGAGGAAAGGGAGGAGAAGGAGGAGGAAGAAGAGGAGGAGGAGGAGGAGAAGGAGGAGGAGGAGGAGGGGGAGGAGGAGGAGGAGGAGGAGGAGGAGGAGGAGGGGGAGGAGGAGGAGGAGGAGGAGGAGGAGGAATACTAATAATGATAAGAAGAAGAAGACGAAGACGAAGAAGGCGGATAAGACTACTACGAAGAAGCCCCTTCTCCTTCGCGCCGGGCGCCCGCCGCCCGCCGAGGAGGTGCTCACGGGGCGGGTCTCGCTGGGCGGCCGCGCCTCCTGCGCGCTGAGGGGGCCCTCGCTGATCCACGCGAGGCCGCCCCGCGAGCTTACAGAGAGGGGAGGGGTCGGGCCGAGCGAAAGGGGGGATTGGGAAAGGGAGGGCTACGAAATTTGCTGCATGCAGCTGGTTTCGGCCCCACCGAGGGGCCCATTCCTCGATACATAGCCTACAGATCGGGCCAGGCGAAAGGGGTGGATAGGGAAAGGGGGGGTTACGAAATCTGCTGCATGCAGCTGGTTTCGGCCCCACCGAGGGGCCCATTCCTCGATACACAGCCGCCTCCGGCGCCGGGAGGCGCCGGGAAGATCAGCTACGTGAGCTGATTCTCGACCCCCCCTTTGCTATCCCCCCCTTTCGCCCGACCCGAGAGGGGAGGGGGGGGCAGCGCGATATGTCGAGATCCCCAGCCCCCATCGCGTCGTGAAAACGTCACGACGGGAGTTGTCCTTCGGAGGCGAGCGGAGGGGGGGGAGGTGAGAAGGGGCGGGCCTTCTCAGAGGGTTCGGAAGTCCTCCGCCCTTCTGAGAAGTTTCCTGAGCCTTCCCCGAAGACACAGACAGCTTGTCAGAAGGCGCGAGGGCTTCTGAGAAGTCCCGCCGCCTTCTGAGAAGACCTGCTCCTTCTCATTTCCCCCCTCGCTCGCCGCCAATGTTTGGCAGGTTTCAGCTTCAGGGGCGCCTTTACGGGGTTCCAGGACCGCCAAAAGACGACTCAAGATGAAAAGTCGGTCCCCGGGCCCAGGGAAGGTGTCGAGAGGTTTGGGTACCCATATTTCGAACAGTCGAGCCGCCGAATTCTTTTGTCAGCAACAAGATCCGAGCCCTGCCTCCGCCACCCCTTGGTTTTGACGACAGGCAGTGCTTTTCCAGTGGGGGTTCGCTTCGCTCGTGTCAAATCGTAATTTCTGATCCCACAACGTGTGCCCTGGGCTTCCCAGTCGTAAGACCCGTGGGGCGCATTGGCTGTCCAACATATCTGTCCCCGCACGCCTGGCTCGGGAAGAGGAGCATGACCATGAGACTATGTCTGCAACTGCCACCGCGAGCAGAGCAGTGGCAATCATTATGGCGAGGTTCGCGAGCGTGATACCTTCAACAACATGTGTGCACTATGTTGCGGGCGAAGGCTCGCATGCCTTTGTGTGCATATGCGTGGCGTCCACTCGCTCTCTCTCTGAACGTGGGGGCTCCTAAGCATACCGATCCTTCGCCGTCGTTGGTGGAGGAGGAGGAGGAGGTACTTATGTTCTCAGTGGTATTCGATCGTGCCACGGTCAGTCACGTCTTCGCTCATCGCGCCAAGCAGCTCGACTAAGAGGACACAGCCCACAGTGCAGCTCGTGGAGGTCAGCTTCTCTCCTTTTGACGCCCGTTCGCTGCATTGGCCAGTCAAACCTCTTAGAGTGCGAAGAATGCCTAGCATACCACAAGAAAGGTGCACGCCATTCCAATCACATGTTCAGAGCAAGCGCATACAAGAATACTGTGCCAACTGACCGGCCACACGCATTTCGGCCATACCTCAGCGCCTGGTCCCTCCCCGTGGGATCCCCCCGGACACTCGGCTGCGCGAGCTTCGCCCCTGGGCTTGCTTCTCCACCCTCTTCCAGAGGCCGGTGTCAGCTGATGCACGAGTTCGGTAGCAAATCATGGGAGCCGCGCGTGTCCCCGTAACTCAGGAGAGGAAAAAACACACAGACACAATTAATCGTCGAGTCCCAGGAAAATATGGGAAAATATGGGAATTGGGCGGGAAGACAAAAACCCAGAAAATATGGGAAAATATGGGAAATCATTTTATTTGTGTGTATTTATTTGTGTGTCCCAGGGCCCCTTCAGTAACGCCGCCGTTGGACTGCACCAGCGTGCGGCAACCGATGAGAACACGACGACTTGGCGCCGACGCGTGTCCATGTCGCGTCGGTTGGCGTCGCCCTGGCGTCGGTCCGCGTCGATATTCGCAACAGCCCGCGAGATGGCACGGGAGGCTCCCGCGAGCTGCCTCCGAGCAGGAGACCCGGCCGGGTACCTGCTGAAGGCAGTTCCGGAGAGCAGGTACGTCGGGCCTGTCGCCCGTCTGCCTCGGAGCACTTGGCGAACAAGACCTCGGAGCCAGGGGCGCGCTCCGTCAAGCCTCTGGGGAGCTCTGCGCACGCTTCGGCCTCGACCTCCTTGGAATCTCAGAGGGCCCTGGTGGCAGAGATGCAGCGGCGGAGGGCTGCAGGGCGCCTACGACCATCGCGGCAAAGGAATCTGATATCCGACCGTGCCAGGGTTCCACTGGAGGCCCCCGCCGCCTCAACTCGAAGTGGACGGGAGTGGACTCGAGGCGGCGCGCGACGGACAGATTGCAGGTATATCAGCTGTGAGCCGTGTGGGGCAGGGGGGCGTGACATGTTGGCTTGTAGTGCGTTCCGGACAGGGTCTCGCCGTCGGCGCATCTCGCTCGTAGCGGAAGCCGGCGGAAATTTAACAGCGACGGCTCCGCTGGCGGAAGGCGGCGGAAGTAAAACCGAGACGACAACATTCGTGGGTCCATGTATGCGGGGACCAGCCATATCCATTATGCGGCAACCGTGGCTCCACAGCCGCAGGGCGCTTGGGACTAAAAGGGTCGGCCCCGCCAAGCACAGCGTCCGCTGTACGATTCCTGGGTCAGGATCCATACGGCGGCGCTTCGCCAGGCGTGCTGCTGCTGCCCAGGACACGTGGCCAGAACCTGCTTGTGGCTGAACCAGTCGGCGCTCGACTCGAGGCCTTTGCCCAGGCCCTGACGCTGGGCACGGAAAACCAGCCTGGTGACGCACTGCTCTCGCCAGGCCGCTGCCGTTTGCGCGAGCCAGGTGCGGAGCCGGGGTCGCAAAAGCAAGCGCGCCTACCGCGCGGCGCACCACGAGGAGGGGCGGTATGGGGACTTGCCTGCCTCCCTCTCGTCTTTCCTCGCTGTACGTTCATCTGCTGCCCAGTCGGCGAGCTCGCGCCGACGCTGGACCTGTGGAGGCTCGCGGCCGCACCCGCCCAGGCAGAGCATGCACCCCCCTTGGGGCTCCAGCGAGCCAGCAGATGGGTACTGCGGGCGGTCTGCGGATCCGGGGGGGCCCTCCCGCGCCCAGGCCTTCCCCCCTGGGGAAGGCCCCCCTGCCCTTCCTCCCCCCCTTCGCCCCTCCTCCGTGCTCCCTCCCCTGGTGCTGACTCCCTGAGGCCCTCTCGGCCTGCCGCCCTCCCTGTCTCCCTCCCTCTCCTCATCCATCCCTCCCTCCTCCATCCCTCCCTCCTCCCTCCTCTCCCCCGCTCTCCGCCCCCCCCTCCCCCCCAAATCCCTCCTGCCCGCGTGCTCCTGCCGCTCTCTGCTTCCTCGCCTTCGCCTCCTGCCCCAGAGGTCCAGGGTCGCCACGCCGGGGTCGCTCCCAGCCGTCGTCTGAGGCAGCGGGAGGGGTTCGCGCGCGGTCTCCCGCTGCGGCTCCGCGGGTGTGTTGTTTGTTGTTTTAAATGCCGAGCGAAACGAGGTGTGGCCATGTGATCCAACTTGTCTCGTAAGTTCCGCGTGGAGGACTGGCTGGCGTGGACGGGCAGGAGTGGGCCGTCCTTCGAGTGTGTTGGGGGGGGGCTTGGACCGGGAGGGGGGGCGGGGGGGTTTTAGCGCGCACGGGGGGCCCAGAACGGGCCGTCGGACGGGGTGGCACTGTGTGGGTGTGGTCATCGCGCAACTCTGAAGATCCAACATCGTGTCTGTTCCGCAAGCATCAGCGTGCACCGGAGTGAGTACATCAGCGGCGTCCTCGGCATATTGGTTGGCAGGCGCATGTCGTCGCAGGCAGGCGTCGGGCCATGCGATCTACGTAAATAGGCGGTACCGCCTGCCTCTCACTGCCCTGCATTGCACTCTCTGTGTCTTGCGGGGAGCATCTATCGATCGAGTGTAAACATGAGTGCTCTGATACCGAGCGAGGCCCGTGGTACTAAGGAACTGCACCGTGCTCTAAGGGTGATGCTGCGACCGTACAAGTTCCCAAGGGGGATGCACCTTTATTGATCGCTTTGCACAGCCGGCCACTCGTAATGCCAGGTGGGTGATGTGATGGTCTGTGTTGTCTGGTGGGTGGGCCCAATCGCTACGACCCTTGACACAAGCTTATAGCAGGACGACGCTTGGAACCGAAAGTAACACTGTCCACGCGTCCCCCGTGGACTCCACAACAAATGTTCGGCATGCAAAAGTATGCTAGTGTCAGACATCTTTCTGGGACTGAGAACATGATGCGTCCAACGTGCTTGGCCATGAATTATGATGCGCGCCAGCGGGAAACGAGCATGTTGAGGGTTGTGTGGCCTACAGAGTGCATATATGCGGCGATTCCCCAGCTGAGAAACTCCTGTATGAGTGTGAAAGACAGGTGCGCGCTCAAGTCAGAGGCGCCTGGTATCAGGGCCAATGTTGAGACGCGGCCCGTCGGGGTGGCCCATTTTGTTACACGGCACCACGCTGGCATGTATCTGGTGGTATCTGACCTCCCCTGCGACCGTCCCTGCGGGTCTCTTAGAGGTTCTCTGGGAGGCCCTCCGAGGGTCTCCTGGGGGCTTCCAAGAGGCGTCCAGAGAGGCTTCAGGGCTTCCAGAGCCACGAGGGGCCTCTGGTGATTACTGGGGGCCTCTTGGAAGCCGATTGGGGGCCTGTTGGGTGTATACTGGGGGCATCTCGGGGCATCTTGGGCACCTCGTGGGGGCCTACGGACGGTCGGGGGGGCCATGTTGGGGCAGGGGCTCGAAATGTCCGTTCGAGCTCCTCTTCTTGGGCCTCTTAGGGCCGTCTTGGAGGCCTCCTGGGGCCGTTTCCGGGTACATCTCGGAGGCCGTTTGTGGGCGAGATTGGGGGCCGTTGGTGCCGCATTGGCCTCTCAGATGTTTCCAACTCCGAAAATCTCCACCTCACCGTCAACCCGCACACTAAGCATGAGCGATGTTCCAAGGTTACCCTTGCATCTTTCCCCGCCGGCCCCTCCTGGGCCGCTTTCGCCAGCGGCGCCCCGCTCGCAAAGTGTTCACATGACCGTCCAGGGCCCTTGCAATGTTGTCGGGGGTGGACAGAACCCCCAACATTGACACGTCGATTAGTGAATTGTCCGTTTTCGGTTCTCGAGATGGCGCCGTGGCCGTTATTTTCCAGGCTTGCGCCCGCCAGGTTTGGGCCTCAGGTCGTCTTCACTAAACCACGTTTTGCTAAAGGGAGGTCTGTCCATCCCCGATATCGTCGCCCGTCCTGGTTACACGGGTTGGCTGTACCTCAGACGCAAGCGTGTTTCACTGCGTGTGTGCCCTCTTGGGCCAGCCCGCAGGGCTTCCCAGACGGCCCACGGTGCGCCCTGGAGGGCTCCAGGACGGGCCCGGAGCACGCTGGAAATGCGCAGGCCAAGTTTGCACATTTCCCACAGTTCCTCCTCCTCCTCGTTTTCGTCCTCGTTCTTGTCCTCGTCCTCGTCCACGTCCTCGTCCTCGTCCTCGTCCCCGAGGCACCTTGAAAAGTCACACGACGGCCCCAAAGAAGCGCCCAGAACTGCAGCCCCTGGCCCTTCCACGCAGTGAGCTTGCAGCACGAACTGCAGAGAGTTCAAGGGGACCTGATGTCTTTTCCACCCCGTACCTACGATACGGTTGCAGATAACCCAGGGTGTCCACGTGTGTGTGTGGAGGGTAGTGGCTGGAGAGGAGAAATCAGATACTCGACCGTGTAGAGGGAGCTTGCGAGGCCCGAAGAGTCGAGGATACGTATGCCTTTAAATATAGATATATATATATATATATATATATACATCAGCCCGCGAGGACCCCAATCCGCGGCACCTTGAATATATGTGCGGTGCAATCTGGGTGGTGCTCTCACTGTGAGTCAACCTAGATGGTACAATCCACTTTTTGGCGCAATGCAATGCAATGCAACGCCATGCAACGCAATGCAAGTCAATGCGCAGCAGCGCAACGCAATGTACAGCAATGGAATGCACTGCAAGGCAATGCAGCGCAAAGCAATGCACCACTATGCAAAGCAGTGCAACGCAATGCCAAGCTGTTCAAATCGATGCAACGCAAAGCAATGCAAAACAATGCAAAACAATGCAAAACATTTCAGCGCAACGCAAAGCAAGAGAAAGCAATACAACGTAATGAATACAGCGCAAGGCAATGCACAGCAGCGCAAATCAATGAAGAACAGTGCAAAGCAGCGAACGTCGAAGCAAAGCATTCCAAAATCGTGCAAAGGTGTGCGACGCAATGCAACGCAATGCAACGTAAGGCACCTCAACGCAAAGCAATGCAAAACAATGCAGCGCAATGCAACGCAATGCAAAGCAAAGCAGCGCAAAGCAATGGAACCCAGTGCACACATGCAAAGCAATGCAACGCAACACAAAGCGACGGAAAACAATGCAGTGCAACGCAAAGCAGCAAAAAGCAGTGCAACGCGATGCAAAGCAATGCAAAGCGATGCAAAGCGATGCGAAGCGATGCGAAGCATTGCGCAGCCTGCGGTGACGAGGTGGCGACGGCGACCACATGGCAGCCAGAGCGGCCCGCAGGCCCAGGCGGCGGGCGACGACGCGGGGCGAGGAGGCGGCAACCGCGGCCACGTGGCGGCCAGAGCGGCCCGCAAGCCCCGGCGGCAGGCGGTCGGCGCGAGGCGGCGGCGGCGGCCACATGGCGGCCAGAGCGGCCCGCAGGCCCAGTGCCTTCGAAAAGGATCGGGCCGAGCGAAAGGGGGGGATTGGGAAAGGGGGGGTTACGAAATCTGCTGCATGCAGCTGGTTTCGGCCCCGCCGTCGGGCCCATTTCCTCGATACATGGGCGCCGGGGGTGGCGCTGGGAAAATCATCTACGTGAGCTGATTCTCAACCCCCCCCTTTGCTATCCCCCCTTTCGCCCGGCCCGAAAGAAGTAGGAACCCGTCAGTGCAAGCACTGCGCGGGATACATATATGTACATGTGTACATATATACAGAGAGGAGTGTTCATGAGAAGTTGTATTTGGAATTCGGGTTCAGATGGACATGCGGATCACGACACATTTAGAAACATGGCATGGACATCGAAATGACAAGCTGTTGGTAAGTACCTTGGCAGATCTGCATGCGCATCCAGATCTGAACAACACGGAAATAACAATACATGCAATACGTATTTACAATGCGTTTGTGTGTGTGTTGATATCCGTGATGGGCATGTGGCAATTTATGAGGTCCGAAGCCACCGTGTCCAATTGTGTCTGCTGGCGTCTCCAGCGTTTTTCCCGCTGGCGCGCGGAGTCGCAAAGGATTTCCGTCGCTTTGCGGTGGAACTTTCCACGCGGCACTCTTCGCAGACGATTGATTCGTCCGCGTCACGGGCCGGAGCTTCCTCAGATTTCCACGCAAGGGCGTGGCGAGCGTGCAGCTGATGCCAGCCATCGCACTCGCGCGCTTGCCGAGCCTCGCAAAAGGGGGCTGTGCGCCGCCGCTACTGGACGGCCCTCTCCCCACGCGATACGTTTCACATAGGACAACCCTTACGGGCTCAGAAGTCAAGGCCCCCCCCCCCTGATGGGAGGAGACAATGTTTTGCTGTTCCAAACAATGAGTATGCAAAGTGGAAAAGTATTTGTTGACGACCAGTTGTCAACAATGACACATATTTGCCAGCACGCTGGGTCTTACACAAGATGGAGGGCAGCCGAGCCCCTGGTTCCCTGTACCTGAACCTGTGGCTCGTTTTACGTGTTTATTGCGATTTGCTGAATGCTTGGTCGTACCGGCCACACACACACACACGGGGTGATAGTACCACGCCATTTCTTGACTTCCCATGCCCCGTCCTCCATTGTCCTCTTCTCTTCTCTTCTCTTCTCTTCTCCTCCTCCTCCTCCTCCTTCGGCCTACGCTTGTCGACTGCGTGCCCGCGACGGCTCTTGGTTGCCACGGCATTACGAGGATCAGGGCAGGCGGGGGGCTTTTGCGCGGCAGCTGCTGGAGGGGTGCACGCGTTCGGGAAAGGGCTGCCGCGTGTGGATGGATGTTGTCTCATGTGCTTCGGAATTTGGGGAGGGGGTGCGCCCCAATCTGCTCCTTGAGCTCGTGAGCCGTCACACCCCCCACTCTGCTGCACTTCAGCCTGCGACGAGAGCAGGACGATGTACTATGAGTGGTAGTGGTAGTGGTATCTGGAGAAGAGCGACGGCGATGAATACGACGTTGAGGGGGGAGGAGACGGGCGGGGGTGCAGGAAACATGGAGTACCAGAGGAAAAGAAGGATGAAGAGGGTCCGGGATTGAGAGAAAGGAGGGCACATGGGAAGTACGGAAAGCGGCTGCAGCGGGAAAAGAAGCAAGAGAGCAGAGTGAGGGACGGCGGGGGAGACAGAACAGGGCAGGCAGGAATGGAGAGATCAGATGGCAGA